TACACAAAGGGAAAAGCAGGATTCTCCGATACAACACAGCAGCACCAATCCAATCACAATTGACGGAGAAGATTTGGAAGATGTAAAAACCTTTACATATTTGGGCAGCATCATTGATGAACAGGGTGGATCTGATGCAGATGTGAAGGCGCGGATCGGCAAAGCAAGAGCAGCATATTTACAACTGAGGAACATCTGGAACTCAAAGCAACTGTCAACCAACACCAAGGTCAGGATTTTCAATACAAATGTCAAGACAGTTCTACTGTATGGGGCAGAAACCTGGAGAACTACGAAAGCCATCATCCAGAAAACACAGTGTTTATTAACAGTTGTCTACGCAAAATACTTCGATCCGTTGGCCGGACACTATTAGCAACAACGTACTGTGGGAGAGAACAAACCAGATCCCAGCGGAGGAAGAAATCAGGAAGAAGCGCTGGAAGTGGATAGGACACACATTGAGGAAAGCACCCAACTGCGTCACAAGACAAGCCCTCACATGGAATCCTGAAGGCCAAAGGAAAAGAGGAAGACCAAAGAACACATTACGCCGAGAAATGGAAATAGACATGAGAAAAATGAACAAGAATTGGATGGAACTAGAAAAGAAGGCCCAGGACAGAGTGGGTTGGAGAATGCTGGTCGGCGGCCTATGCTCCATTAGGAGTAACAGGCGTAAGTAAGTAAAGGCTGTCGGGAAGCTAGAATATAGTATATGGGCCTAACATAATAACTGACACTACAGTCCTCTCTTACTCGAATACTGTTCCATGTGTATGTATTGGAGTACGATTCGGGCAGTAATGGGTATTACCAGTTAACATACAGAATTCTATTACCGTTGATTATCAAACGCTATCAAGACGCACCCCAGTTAGAGGTAAGCTATTAGATGTTTTCTATTGTTTTGGCTTTTTCTTTAACTTTTGATAATAGACCCAGTCCCGAAACGGTGGATTTGTCATGGTGTGATTATCTAATCGGTAAGATCTTACATGACTCGACTAGTAGTGTTCGGAAAAAGAGCCTTCATAAGGTTCATGTACTTCTATGGTAGGCCTTTTAATGACAGACACTGTCATAAAATTTAGAGGTCTACGGACTCAATGCCGCTTTTAAGTCAATAAAGACCGCCACTGTCGGACGCCGATAAGCATGCCTGTGTTCTAGAACCTGGCAAATGGTGAATATGTGGTCGGTGCAGCCACATCAGGGTCTGAAGCCAGCCTGATTTTCTCGTGTTTGCGGTTCACGAGTCTTAGTTAGGCGCCCAATAGTTATTGAGGCTAATACTTTAGATGCTATGTTAGTCAAACTAACCCCTCTATAACATTGTTTGTGAAAATTATATTTGCAATAATCTAAGGGACTGGAATTTATGTAATTCCAACGTTCGGTCTAACAAACGTTTCCACGTAATACTCAGCACTATATTTGTCAAACTGTTAGTTCTAATATTGACGAATACTCGTACAGATAATCCCTCCATGGCTGTCACATGATAGTTCTGATCATCTCTTATATATCGGGACAAAAGGTGATTAGGACCAGTCAGATGGGATTACATCCAACCCCCAGATTTAGCTAAATATTAGTCAACTTAACCGCTAAAATTAGACCACTATACTTAAAGACCTCTGAAGCCAATCTATCTGCTCTTCATCGTTTCAGATCAACTATAGCCTTTTGAACTTCAGATAGAGTTGGAGAACTTACTTCAGTGTTCCATTCACACTGTCTGGGAATGGTGGGTAGTTGTAGAGTAGCTGAAGGCCGGCTGAACTGCTCCTTAGTGTTCCACCCAACGTTCTAAACGTCTGGACTGGGAGCAGATGGGATTGTCGTCATTTTCAGAAATAGTCTCACTTACACTTGACTTTTTAGTTTCAGTTTCTTTTATGAGTCTGAAGAGCTTCTTGTGTGCCCTATAGCCGCCGCCTTTTCCATCTCTTTTGCATTCAATGCCCATTGAAGTCGCATCACTGTTTGCACATACTCGTTGTATTGTTCCAATGATACTTAGTACTTCTGAATAACAGATTTGGGATGGGGATAGAACAATACATTAATTGTGAATAGTAATAAATATCCATCCAAATATAACGTCACAGTGAAGAAACTTATATATACGACGCAACGTTCCAGCGGAACTTTAACACTGATGCAGCACAACAAGTTTTCGTAACAAACTGGGTAATTATATAGCAAACACTTAGTTGTTCTTAGTTTTCACAAAAAGTTACTCGTTAACAATATCGGTATACCTCCCCATGAAACTACGAAGACAGAAATAAAAATTGTGTGGGCGTTCATTGATGCATTCTTACTACTCGTAAAGGAAGAATGAATCAGTTTTCAAGTTGTATATCTAGTTAATTCAAAAATACAACACTTCTTGTTACGTCTCCACACTTTATTATATTCCGTACCGTATTTCTTACCGTAAAGTAAACTTCAGAAAGGTAAGCATTTGAAAAACTGCAGTCTTGTCTAGTTATTGATGATTCTTAAGTCAAAACTGTCGACTCTTCTCTCAACTAGCATCGCGAAGTGTTCACCATATTTTTCAATAATGTTTTTTGTGTATTGTTTGACTTCGCCGAATCCATATATACTGTTTGCTTCCTATTAATTCATTTGTTGATTGTGATTGCAACATCACTGGCTTCAAATTTTCTTCTTCTTTTGACGACAATCTCCTGGTCCATGGATCACAAACCATCCATGAACTACTATAAGCATGATTGTGAACCATCTTGTATGATTTGATGATATATCATTTTCTTCCAATTTTACGCTGATATTAATGCTTTTGGCAGTTATTTTTTATGTTTTTTAGTGCAGCAAAAGACGACTTATGCAAAAGCCTACCATTCATGTAACCCACGGTAAGTGGAATACGGAATGACCGCCTCCCATCAGGCTGTCCAAGGTCGTTAAAACGTAACGGCGGGCAGCTTCAAAAGAGTCCGACATTTTTCTCACATCCTCGTTTCTACAGAACCATTATATAATAGGTAGAATCTCACCACTTAAGTATTTCAAATAGATACATGTAAGATACATCATGGGCCAGTTCAGTGGGTGCTTTCACAATGTGTGTTGTTGGTGAATGGATATGACTAAGTTCCTAGGTTATTTAAATTTTGCAGTTAGTCATCTGTGATGGAGATGAGTTCATTTTAGCCAGCAATATTTTACTAGCATCATAACTTCTAAGCAGACGAGTAAGTCCAAAATGAGAATTGTTTTCATGAGAATACACGATGTCAACCACTTAATAAATTAGATCAACCACAAAGCGACTGGAGAGATGTGATGAAATCAGATATACGTCATCTGTTATGTCTTGATTTTATTCAAATTAGGCCTACGGTAATTTCTTGTTGCGACTGATTGAAAGTAACGTAACCTTTATTATATGGCAACTAACATACATACGGTTTAAATAAAATACCTGGCGATCGATTTTCAAAGGAGGGCACGAGCGCATAGAAATTTCGATTTAAAATAATATTGAGCGTAAAGTAAAACAACTCTGTATGCGTTATATCCATGCTTGTGCATACATCACATAAAAGCTAGAAAGTTGAACGTGAATACATATCAGAAAATAGCAAAGTCGTGCAAAAATATGAATGGAAAACGATGTCTTTGTTACAGGGAAAAACGAATACTTGTGAAAATACAGATAACTTGAGGTCTTCGTGGCATTGATATGTGCTAAATTTTTCGCATAGCGATAATGTAAGTATGCGATTGACCACAATCATGAAAACCACTCATATGTCTTTGTTTACAGTCAACACTGCGCTCAATTCCTGCCTGGGAGAAAAGTAAACCATCAAGAAAATGGGACTCAAACAAATCAGTACATATCTTCCGGCACTCTGAACGATTTTTGTCCTGTTTGGTATACTAATCTAACGGGCCATGTGCATCATTTTATTTTACTTCTTGACACGACGATTTCATACAGGGTGAATCACAAGATTTTAACACTGTTTGAAGCATCGCTTTAGCCTTAAACGGTATATGGCATCCTCGGGCAACAATCTTTTACCTAGAGCTCGAACTGAAGGTTTACGTAATTAAAGATTTTTGCAGGTATTCATGATACTAGTAGTCGTTCTAAGACTAACCATATCTTATAAGCTAATAAGGGAACAGTTTTCAATTAAGCTCACAATTCCCACACAGCCTCAAATTATGTTCGTGAGAGGATTTTGTTGGTCAGAATTCCATAGTGACGCTCTAAAGAGATCTTGTTGTTTTAAAGCAGAGATGAGAGCAGGTAGGAACGAATGAAAAAAGTATTAGGATATTATTAAGTTCACAATGAAAATAAAATAGCCCTTTAAATGAACTCCCGTTGGTGTACCTGCGTGCTGTGCAGAACAGAAATGTATTTACTAAGGAAAGGTAATGTTGGAAAAATGTAGGGAAGTACACCATAGAACCTGTAACTAATTCTCCAATCGATGACGCTCACTATACTATACAAAGTCAGTTTTTCATCTCGAGAACAAAAATGTACAGAGGTGTTTGCAAATCTAACATCTAAATAGATCTATCAAGATACCACTTTTGGAGATGGTTTTATCATCATGCTTCAGCTTCAGATTATTACTGCCTCTAGAATAACGAAAGATAAATAGCAATCATTAAGTGCAAACTTGAAAAAGGTCACATAGACATTCAATTTTTTAAAATCCGAAATCTAACGGCTAATGTGCAACTAATTAACGATGGTTTGTCATTAAATTATTGATTCGACTTAAAATAACAGTCGAATTCACAAAAACATGTTCGGAAAAGTGTCTGAATCATCGTGTTTAGGTATTTGTAAAGGCCTTCAATCATAAATTTTTGCTGAGACTGCAGGGCGAAATACACAGTTTTTCACGTTGAAGTAAGATATTGAATAATGAATCGAATGAGGTCATCGATAATGCATCACACTAATATTGTATTATTTTGAATTGCAATCGTCATCCATGTACAAAAGAAGTTTACGAGCCTCGTTGAGTCAGTCATCCTATACAGAACCAGTTATTAACCTAAGAAGTCCAGACAAACTCCATGATCGAACTCACTCGAAGGTAAACCAGTTGATCTTCCTGCAATGATAAATAATATTCTGGTTAAATAACTAAGTGCAGTGTTTTAAAGTAATTTTAAGGTCACTCCGGTTTAATGAAGATCAAATACTAGTTGAAAACCTTTATTCCACGGGTATTTTATTCGTTCTAGGTTTTTATATTCGTCTTCTATATCCTCTGAATATCTCTATATAATGAGAAGAAAAAGATGAATATGCTCGGTTCAAAATCATTCCTTAATATTCCTTACATCAAAATCAGATCACGTTTCAATCTGCAAAAGGACAGAGTGAAGAGGTCCGGCTTTTCAAGCGACTCTTGGTATGGTAAACTTCGGAATTCTGGAATTGCATAGGCAGTTGCCCTCTATACATGTTCCAGGATATTCGAGTCACTTCATTCATCCTAAGAAAAAAAATATTTATAAGGCTTTGATGCCTGGACCTCCTAAGTACTTTCAATAGAAATGACTAACAAAATAAAACTTGACCTGTCAGTTTTAGCGTACAGGCAAAGCAAGAACATGAATGATCGTGTTTTGGTTTTTCTGGACATATTTACTTCCCATTCGAATACATGGGCTTCACAAGCTGTGCACTGGCCCTTTTCTACATAGCTGATACTTCAAAGTTTTTTGCTTGTGTCATTATGATCAGTTACTTCGAGTCGTATGACCTTTTCTGCTTCATTACATCTTTAAGCACGATTATAATTCTTTTATAAATAGCCTGATTCTTCCGAAACTGAATCAACGATATATTTGATTTTGAAACCCATGAACTTTGTGATGCGACATTTCGTATTCAATAGTGACAGGAAAACAATTTCGCATTATGTTTCATAGGCTTTGAATTAGTTGTAAGCTCCATGAAGAGACTAAAGCGGCAGCTTACTTTTCGGCGGAGTTAACCGCTACTACAGCCAAATTTCAGGTGGCGAATATGTTACTCAAAATAAATGTAAACCACAATCGCTTAAGAGTTAATTCTTGTCTGACGGACATCCAACTCAGCTTTTAGTTAAGTTAAATGATACATATGCATACAAAAGCTTGGTCTACCAAGAAACGTTTACTTTTTTAAGCTTACGATGGCAGTAGCATGGTTATGGGAAAAACACGATAAGGTAAGTAGGTTGCACATCAGCAATCAAGATCTGTTACGAGGAACTTAAATCCTACTTCATTAACTTGTATGCCACTGCCTTACGTTTTATTAAAAATTGAATGCATTTTAATTTTGAGTTTGCTTATTATCGTCCTTAGTTCACTTTCATGTTCTTGCCTTTACTTGGGAATAAAGATTTGAACCGTTTTAAAGCACAAAATTTCAAACTAATGCGTTATTAGACAAGCCTCAAAGCTTCGTTGTTTGCCTGCATCTGCACAAAAGAATACGAATTGTCTTTATAAAACAAGTAGCTATTAAAATCACCATCTCTACTTTAGACACAAGGATTAGGGGTTTGACTTGTTATCGCCAGTGAAAAATAAATTTTCCTTCATGGTGCGTGAAAAAATGTAACAGTGAAAGTTTTCATCATTTTTTTATTCATAAGACTCAATTCTCAAGTTTTTGCTACCCATATTCAGAAAATTCGTGTATAAACTCACAGTTATGTCACCAACTTTACTTTTCATTGAAACGTGATTTATACAGAATATTTAGATATTTTTTTTCTTATTTTTGAGACATATCTAAGAACTGTATTCTTTTTGGCAATCATATAGAAGCATAATCGTTATCACAAAAGTAGAAGCGCTTCAAACCATGATTCTTCACTTAGTGTTGTTAGTGACAAAAGAGCTCGTGATTCAAAATTGGAGCTAGTCGAAACTTTGAAGATGATGAGACGAATAAGTTTCATTTAAAAGTACTCACACTTGTGAAAATCCAACAGTTAGTAAAACGTCTGCTCAAAATAACCGTTTGTCATCTCATGATCAAGAAACCTTTGGATACGAGCCGTTCAATATGTCCAACTCGACTCCTAATTTGGGCCACCTCTACTCACACTTACCTCGACATCACACAAATCAAACTTTAATTGCCGAACCTGAAGAATATGACCAATATATATCCGACGATTCACAGATACAGCAGTTGTTTCCTGACACAGTCCAATCCATGCCATGTTCGCCTAGAGTCAATGAACTCCTTGAGGATCAATGTGTCATCGACCCCAGCTTTACTAATTCTGAACATTTTGGACACATTTACCAACCAAATACAAATCTCAACATATATGAGTTCTACGAATGTCAGCTAAATAAACAGCTAACAAAGTTGAGTATGCTTCACGCTCAACAATTAAATATTCAGGTTTTGTTAGAGCGTGAATGGCTGAAATTGCACAAGGTTAGTTAAAAGACATTGTTTATTCTTAGGTAAAATTATAGTTTTCTTGGTACCAATAGAAATTTTGCAAAAACGTCACATAAAACATAGATGATGAATAATAGTGTTGGTTATCGGTGTCTTATATTTATTATCTAAAACACCGGTAGAATCTGTTAGACTTCAGTCTCTTACATACCCCCACAAAAATAGGTTCATCCGGGTCATTTATAAATATTTTCAAGATTTCCAGTTAAACAATTACTATCAACTTTTAAACAGTTTACCACAAATAATAATAGACAATAGCTGACGACTGAAACACTGTTTTTGGTTGAAATACCATCAAGGTTAACCGTTATTTAGTGATATTAGATAACTTTACAATATACGTTTTTTTGTTTGTAAGTTTAAGCAAAGACGTTCTAGATGTTTGATTGTGTAAAACTTTTATATATATGTACGCCCATTGCTTTGCATCTTTCGATTATCGCGATTAAAGATCCAGGAGATGTGATGCTTATTCTACGTTAACATCTCTATTTGATTTACAGGTCGTGCTTAAAACTATATATATGGGTTATCTGAAGGACTTATAAGTTTTGTAAACTTTTCCAAATTCGGTGATGTTATACACTGAAGTACTAAAAACCAACAGCTAACTTTAGTCAGAGTTACCTTCTACTTGCACGAATGTTGATGTTATTCATCCATTGAAAACAAAATCTTGCTATTTTTAGATGTAAAGCGACTAGTTTCAAAAAGTCAATTCTTAGTGACAAATTTTCCATATTAGTTCACGCGATTGTAGAACTAGTTATCTGGATTCCAACCACAAAAACGTTTTGACCTTAATTGACTCCATGTTTCAGTTTTACCATTCGAAACTGAAGATAATTAAAAATGGGAAACTCTAATCGAAAGCACAAAGGTTTATTTTAGGTTGCACCATCGATAACTGTTGTTGAATAAGTTATCCGTCAATTAGCTTCACAACTTTTTGTTTCGTTGACCTGACTCATGCTTCAATTTTATTATATGGGAAGAGAATAAACTTTAAAGAGGTTGGAGTATTCACAAATATGCATATATCTGGATGAATATATGTTAAAATCAGTATTATAATAAAACTAATGTTTTTGGTAAAATCATCTGGTATCATATTACTCTTTTTGTTCTCTTACGTAATAAATGAAATTTTATTGTCGTAAAATAAAACTGCAAACAAATTCTTAGTATAAACGACGAGACATCGCTATTTGTGCTTATTCGTTTGGTGTAGTTAACAGATCTTTTCAATTTAGATATTTCAACTTGATCCATGAAGTGTAGTGTCGAATTCAGTTGCACGTGTTTTCTTCCAAATGTTATTTAGTGTTCTTTAAAATCATGATATTCAACGTAGAAAATCGTTTCATTTGTAGATAATCTTCAAGTGACAAGTCAGGTTATTGGCAAACATATACTTTAGCTTAATCAACTAATGTTTTTTTATTGTGACTTCATAGATAATATGACAATTTTTACACTGTAGCAAGATCAACTACTGGTCACTGAATATAGATTTTCATTCTCGATTAAAATGAGATAGTTGACTGGTCCTTTCTGCTTTAAAATGGTTCCTTAGTTGATGTCACTATGGTTGTATTCAAGTATGATAAGATTTTATCTCATTGATTGTTTTTTGATAACACAACCAAGTAATGTTCAGTCTGGTATAAAAATAATTGCTAATATCATAAAAATATGTTTCTTTTTGTAGGGCATATAATCGTTTGTGGTATAAACCTAATGAGTAAAATTTTTAAAGTCAATGTTAGTATAACCGTCAGAAGGCTTTGTAGTTCTCTTTCATGAAACCTGATTCTTTAGAGAAATCGTCATTCTGTCAGTTGATATAAATTTTGCTCTTTAAAGTCAAGAGGTATCACGTACATTAACTTTTTCATTATTTGAAAACCCATTATTGTTTTAACAGTACAAGTAGCCTTCGAAATTAGTTGCGTAGCTTTACGTCAGTTATCAAAATTGAATTTTTTTTCTTGAATTAGTTAAGGAAGCAAAATACTACAAGTTAATCAGTCTGAAACACTTTTAGTGATGAAATATATCGCCTGTGGACGATTGGTAGAATGTCGTGGACCCACGTTTCATCCTGATTATTACTAGTTTGGAGTGTCGTTGAAGAATTAGGACAGGATCTAACAAATGTCATGACAAAATTCATTATTACCGACCATTTTTGACACGAAGTTTCTTTTATATCATTACTGTTTTCATTACAGTCGGTCTCCAAGTAAAGATTAATTTGGTGTTTATCAGTATAAGGGTTGTGGAGATTATCAATTTCTTTGATTGAGATCATGAACCAATTGATGTTAGACCACCGTTGGAAACCTGGAAGCACTGGACGGCCGTTTCGTTCTATTGTCGGACTCAGCAGTGCGCATCCACGATCCCTCCCGCAGGATTCGAATCCAGGGCCTTCAGTCTCGCGCGCGAACGCTTATCCTACTAAACCACTGGGGCGGCATCCAATGGTGTTAGTGTCTAACATCAACCAATCCACGAAATTGCGCGACCAACTTCCATTGTACTAAGGTAGAGACCTGTCTCTACCCGACGCGGATTAGCGTTCGCGCGCGAGACTGAAGGCCCTGGATTCGAATCCCGCTAGTAGGATCGTGGATGCGCATTGCCGAGGAGTCCCATAATAGGACGAAACGGCCGTACAGTGCTTTCAGGTTTCCAACGGTGGTCTAACATCAATTGGTTCATGATATCAATCAAAGTAATATGGTATTTGTTGGTTTTCAAGCCTGATTCAGTTCTATAAACTTAGTTCTCAGTGAGAATCAGCGCCACGATCAATGTTATGTGACGTCAGCTCATCATTCTGTTTTTTTTTAATATCAATAAATGGTCTTTAAGCAAAACAATTTGTTTTTAAAAATTTCCATTATGTCTTATGGATTAAGTAACTTAAATTCCTTAATTCTTACAACATTCGTTGCATAATAGTGCTTAATATTTAAACTTCATAGTGTATGTTACAGTTATATAATAGTGTTGTGACTTCATAAGGACGCTGACATGAATGACTACTTATTCACACCCCCAGTAAAAGTGCTACTTACAACTTGTCATAACTGAACAATGGCTGGCACGGCTCTGTTTTCTGAAGAAGCCAGTACTGTAGATGAGGATCAGTCATAAATGAATCAACCACCGATCAGCAACTATAACATGATACATTGATTTGTTTATCTGGTCAATAATCACACATTAAAATAGACAGTACTTGACATAACGTACTCAACAACTTGATCCATGTATGGAGTTTGAGATATCGGCTGATTAAATTGCTCCAATAAACAAATTTAACTAAATTACTGAGTTAAATATTGATCCAACTATAAAGTGACATGATGTCATTCGTAAGACGTAATATATATCAGTCAGACTTGAGTGCTGTTAGAAATATGAGAGCGGTTACCACTTCCCGGTTGCCCACACCGTGTAAAAGTTCTTCTAGAGGTACCTCAAAGGAAAATTGGTTTAGAGGTGGTTTAGTGACGTGATAGCGTAACCGCAGTGCCCAAGGGACAAATGCTTGAGGTCGGTCACACAGGACATTTTTGTGGGTAATTTTCGTGCTAGCTCCGTACTTGTTGAGACCTTACCACAGGAGATGGATATCCGTGGGATAAGGCGAGTTGTATGTTTTTAGGGTCGACCTTTCTAACCCCACCGCTCCTTGTGGGAGGGCAGCATCGCTGTTATGCTGATTGTTTGAAGGAAACACCTTACTGCCGTCACACCTTTGTACAGTCAGCAGTACGACTTCACCCTCAGACCTTGGAGTTGCTTCTTTCAGTCTAACCGCTCCTCAACCAACATTGAGGAACGATTGTTTCAGCCCGTATGGCTCGATTGGTTCATCGCGACAGGCAAGCCCCGACCACGACGTCAAGGCAGCAACAACGATCGGGAGGTAATATATATATATATATATATATATATATATATATATATATATAATATATATAGATAGATAGATAGATAGATAGATAGATAGATAGATATAAGGGAAAATAATTCTTGTTTGAATCCTGAAAAAATGAATAAAATAACTTGATGATAACCCCGCATGGAGCCCCCCAGGTGCTACTGCCGATCCCAAGCACGGATGAAGAAGAGCTGGGCATGGAGTTAGCGTCCCCATCCCGTAGAAAAATAACTCGCTAAAAAAACGCTAACCAGAAAAAATCATTCAAACCGTTTAAACTCTGCCCTGGGAGCCAGAGGTCTTCATTTAGAAGAGTTATGACGCCTCATGATGAAAGCCGAGTTCCTTCGGAAGTCACGAGGCCGATGCCCCTTCTGACAACCAGAGCAACCATTTATTTAGGTACATGGAGTGTTCGTACAATGTGGGACACCGGGAGAGCCTTCCAAATTGCTGCAGAAATGAGGAGATACAACCTGGAGGTGCTTGGGATCAGTGAAACACATTGGACGCAAGTTGGACAACAACGACTAGCTTCAGGGGGGCTTCTGTTATACTCCGGCCATGAAGAAGAAAATGCCCCACATACACAAGGAGTTGCATTGATGCTGTCCAAACGAGCACAAAATGCACTTATAGGATGGGAATCTCATGGACCAAGGATCATCAAAGCCTCCTTCAAAACAAAGAAAAAGGGAATTACAATGAACATCATCCAATGCTATGCGCCTACCAACGACTACAATGAAGACGCTAAGGGTAAATTCTGCGACAGGCTGCAGTCAATCCTCGAGAAGTGCCCAACAAAGGACCTGACCATTCTGATGGGAGATTTCAATGCCAAGGTTGGAACGGACAACACTGGATATGAAGACATCATGGGACGACACGGACTGGGAGAAAGGAACGAAAATGGTGAGAGATTTGCAAACCTATGTGCCTTCAATAAACTGGTCATAGGCGGCACCATATTCCCACATAAACACATTCACAAAACCACATGGACTTCACCGGATACACTACACAAAACCAAATCGACCATATTTGCATCAACAAAACGTTCAGGAGGACTATAGAGGACGTGAGAACCAAGAGAGGAGCTGATATAGCATCAGATCATCACTTGCTGGTCGCCAAGATGAAATTGAAACTCAAGAAGCACTGGACAACGGGGGGACAACATCACAAAAGTTCAATACGGCCTTTCTTCAGGATACTAACAAACTCAACAAATTCAAGATAGTCCTCAGCAACAAGTTCCAGGCCTTTCATGATCTACTCAATGGAGAAGGAACTACTGTGGAGAGCAACTGGAAGGGGATCAAAGAGGCAATCACTTCAACATGTCATGAGGTCCTGGGTCACAAGAAGCACCATCACAAGGAATGGATCACTGTTGATACACTGGATAAGATTCAAGAAAGGAGGAACAAGAAGGCAGCAATCAATACCAGTCGAACAAGAGCAGAAAAAGCCAAGGCACAAGCTGAATACACAGAAGTAAACAAACAAGTGAAGAGGAGCATCAGAACCGACAAACGTAAATATGTGGAAGATTTAGCAACGACGGCGGAAAAGGCTGCAAGAGAAGGAAACATGAGACAATTGTATGACACGACAAAGAAACTCTCTGGAAATCGCCGCAAACCAGAACGACCAGTGAAAAGCAAGGAAGGCGAGGTAATCACCAACATTGAAGAGCAACAAAACAGGTGGGTAGAACACTTCAAAGAACTCTTGAATCGACCAGCTCCACTGAACCCACCCAACATCGAAGCAGCACCCACGGACCTCCCAATCAATGTTGGCCCACCAACAATTGAAGAAATCAGCATGGCCATCAGACAAATCAAGAGTGGCAAAGCAGCAGGACCAGACAACATTCCAGCAGAGGCACTAAAAGCAGACGTAGCGGCAACTGCAAGGATACTCCACATTCTCTTCAATAAGATTTGGGATGAGGAACAAGTACCAAAGACTGGAAAGAAGGACTTCTGATCAAAATACCGAAGAAAGGCGATCTCAGCAACTGTGATAACTACAGGGGCATCACTCTTCTCTCAATACCGGGAAAAGTCTTCAACAGGGTATTGTTAAACAGGATGAAGGACTGCGTAGACGCCCAACTTCGTGACCAACAGGCAGGATTCCGTAAGGATAGATCGTGTACAGACCAAATCGCAACTCTACGGATCATTGTGGAACAATCAATTGAATGGAATTCATCACTCTACATCAACTTCATTGACTACGAAAAGGCATTTGATAGCGTGGACAGAACAACACTATGGAAACTTCTTCGACACTACGGCGTGCCTCAGAAGATAGTCAATATCATACGGAATTCCTATGATGGATTAAACTGCAAAATCGTGCATGGAGGACAGTTGACAAAGTCGTTCGAAGTAAAGACCGGTGTCAGGCAAGGTTGCTTACTCTCACCCTTTCTCTTTCTCCTGGTGATCGACTGGATCATGAAGACGTCAACATCTGAAGGGAAGCACGGGATACAATGGACATCTAGGATGCAGTTGGACGATCTAGACTTCGCAGATGATCTGGCCCTCCTATCCCAAACGCAACAACAAATGCAGGAGAAGACGAACAGTGTGGCAGCAGCCTCAGCAGCAGTAGGTCTCAATATACACAAAGGGAAAAGCAGGATTCTCCGATACAATCAGCAAGCACCAATCCAATCACAATTGACGGAGAAGATTTGGAAGATGTAAAAACCTTTACATATCTGGGCAGCATCATTGATGAACATGGTGGATCTGATGCAGATGTGAAGGCGCGGATCGGCAAAGCAAGAGCAGCATATTTACAACTGAGAACATCTGGAACTCAAAACAACTGTCAACCAACACCGGGGTCAGAATCTTCAATACAAATGTCGAAACAGTTCTACTGTATGGGGCGGAAACCTGGACAACTACGAAAACCATCATCCAGAAGACACAAGTGTTTATTAACAGTTGTCTACACAAAATACTTCGGATCTGTTGGCCAGATACTGTCAGCAACAACCTACTGTGGGAGAGAACAAACCAGGTCCCAGCGGAGGAAGAAATCAGGAATAAGCGTTGGAAGTGGATAGGACACACATTGAAGAAAGCACCCAACTGCGTCACAAGACAAGCCCTCACATCGAATCCTGAAGGTCAAAGGAGGAGAGGAAGACCAAAGAACAAATTACGCCGAGAAATGGAAATAGACATGAAAAAAATGAACAAGAATTGGATGGAACTAGAAAAGAAGGCCCAGGACAGAGTGGATTGGAGAATGCTGGTTGGCGGCCTATGCTCCATTGGGTGTTACAGGCGTAAGTTAGTAATGATTAGCATTTAACTACGCTAATTAAGGGGAAAATTAATGACAGGACTATGTTAGAGCCTGTATCAATTACCTTTGAATTCGAACTCCCGGTTTGCAGTGATAAACTTTAGGTGTTTGCACAATGCACGAGATTTTATTCATTATCCTATTTGGGGTAATTTAACTTTGAAAGTATTATAAGAACGTAGTAATTTAACATTTAATGCTTTGTTGCTTTTATTTTATTATAGCTGAATTGTTTGAAAATGGCTAAGTATGGATATAACGATATTAAAAAATCCGGTAAGTGGATAAGTGAAAGAAATTAGATCTTTTTTTACCTTGGAAATTTTTTTAATCATAAACCTATTAGTACATACTTTGACTCAAAAAGCCACGGGTAGGAATTGTTCAAAAGGTAATCTAATCTAATAATTTTCATGGAAATTTTAGATTTTGAAAAATCAGCTGGGTTCATTATAAAAATATTTATTATTAGTATACAATGGTATATATTTATATCATTCCCCTAATGACATAAAGACATTTAAAATTTGAAAAATTCTCATATTGTGATTTAAAGAAACATATATAATCGAACAATATTGTTTTCGATTAAATTCTCATTAGGCTTTACTTTAATATACGGTAATATTTATATACATATACAAAATTATTAAACCAATCAAGACAGTTTATGAGTCATTGATAACAGTGGAATAGATTACATAAATAAACATAAACCTCTCTTCCTGAAGCTGCAAATTAATGGAGATGTAGCTGGTGATGTACTACGTGGTAGACTAACTAGAGCAGTGAAGAGAACGTTTAATGCAACTAACGTCTGTCTATCGTACTCGACCCGGTCTATGGTGATTCCTCAACTAAAGGATAAGTTACCTGGTTATGCCACCCCTATGTGTATTTACGAATTCAACTGTTCTTGTGGAGGAAGCTATATTGGGCGCACTACCAGATAACTGAACCAAAGAGATAGTGAACACTTCCCTTCCTGGTTAAAAAAAGGTACTGTCAAGATAATATGCAGCTTGGTTCTATCACACTTGATCGGTAGCAGTCATGTAGTAGACAGAAATGAGTCATTTAAAGTTATTTATCGTATTCCTACTAGTTTTCCTTATGGTGTTCGATTTCGTCTCTTAAAAACAAACAGAAGATATAGGGATTCGAACAAACAATCCAAGTCTTTGTGTTCATAAGAAATTTGTAACACCCTTATCTCTACCTTGGCCTTAATAAATGATTTTATTTATTATTATTATTTTCCATACTCTTTATCGTTTATTTTTCTTCACCCCCTCCTACCATCTTGTTTTTTTCAAATATACATTTCACGGCCTAATTATCAGAACACTTCTTATTACGTAATCTTATAATTTTTGTGGATGTCTTTTCAGTGTCTGTATTTTTCTAATCATTGACCTATTTCCCATTATGTAACATTGATTCAGGTCTTTATTATTCTTAACACAACTAGTACACCTGTCAAGACACTACCAATTTGTACTTTTCACTTATTTATGTAATCTATTCCACTGTTATCATTGACTCATAAACTGCCTTGATTGGTTTAATAATTTCGTATATGTATATAAATATTAGTGTTTATTAGAGTAAAGCCTAATGAGAATTTAATCGAAAACAATATTGTTCGCTTGTATACGTTGTTATAAAGACATTTGTTTTAATTATCTTAACTTATTACCATAATCCATTGTTAATTTACTAGTTTTACAATTTTTTAATATTTAGTCATATCGTACCAAAATTAAACAACCTTGTATAATAAATATTTATAATGTATGATTTAGCAATTTGAGCATTTATTTAAACAGGAAAACAATATTCACTGTTCATTATTTTTTTGTACCTATACTGTCCACCTTGCCCCATTCGCCGTTGAAATTACTATTTTATTATCAGAAGGGGTTTTGTGGAGATTGTAGTAATTCCAATAGTTGAGATCATAAGTCAATTGAAGCCAGGTTTTCCATGGTGGTCTAGCTTTAATTGACTCATGATCTCAACTATTGAGACTGTTTTATTTCTAACAATAATAATAATAATAAACAGGAATATCTTTTGTGAAATCACGAGTTACATTATAGTGAAATCATGTATCAACAGAATATTCTGGAATTCATTTTTACCAAAATATGTAAATTTACAAAAAGTATTCTTCTTTTTTTTTCTCTTCAATAACAGAATATCTAAACTAAACCTTAACAAGTATTTCAACTTGTTTTTAATGAAAAAAAAAAATAAATAATAACATTATTAATCATATATACATATAAATACATGAATACATACATTCATTTAACCAAATAATGTTTTTTTTCTCCTTGGGGTTTTTGTTATTATTGTTAATGTATATGAATTAATTCAAAATTTTCTTTCATTTTATGATTTACACATTTCAGTAGCTCTTAATTGATTTAAGTAATATTGTACATACCTTCTATTTGTCTGTTTATCTATCTAACTAAAAATCTATTTATTAATAGAAAAAAACTAAGATATAAATGTTAATTTATTTAATTGAAGTTTCTATAGTATTTTGATTATGTATATAATAGTTTAGATGAAGTTATATTCACTTTTATTTTATTGTATTTCTTTTCTTTTTTTTATCCTTTGAAAAAAGTAAAGTGTTCGTTCAGTATATTAATAAAATTGTTAAGCTTTTTACATCAATTATTATATTGAAAGATGAGAAATCTTCTTGTTACTGTGAAGTTATATTCTATCTAAGTAAAACTTTTGTTTTTCCAATATAGCTTAATATTATAAAGTGATATCAATTAAAGTATAAATGAAAATTATGGGTATCATTACGTATTATGAAAAGTTGTCTTTTATATTGGTAGTAACTAAAATGCAATACCAGTAATATGTATCTCATAAAAATTTAGAGTTATACTTTCGATTGTAATGAACTAAACAAATTGGATAAAAATGATGCAATAAAACTATTTAAAATATCAACGAGATATTTTTTTAAAATATGGACCATGTGATGGATAAACAATATGATCATTAGATACATTGTGTCTGAAATTGATTCATTTCCATACAGTTATTTGTATACAACATTTAACAGTACACATGAACAAATGTTTAAGGGTTAATTACAGATATATAGAACAAGACTGAAAATCTTGAGGAGAGAAAGTTTAATCAATTTATTTACAGACTAGGTTTTAGCATTGCACAGAGCCAGTCCTGAAGTTGTTTGGATGATATTTTATGATGGGATACATTTTAGTAGTAAGAACAACTGTTTGCATTTCTCTAGATCCTATTCACATAAAAATTGTCTACTTTAATTTTTCTGAGATTCATGGACAACATTACACAGGAACCCGATTTTTTTTCACATTGACGATGTTTTTATTAGCTACTGCACCATTGAGAGAAGGTATTCAATCTCTAAGTAATTCGTGCACTCGTTTTCAATAAACCATTTTAGCTATAAACGCTGATAAATGTCCTTTCTGTGTCCAAGTGTTAATTTCCGGACGAATAAATCAGCCTAACCAGAAATCGTAAGGTAAATACTGTGAAAACTAGTGTTCTAATCACAAAGATTTGTAACTCCACCTTTAACCGTAATCCCAGTTATAGATGTATGATTTATGGCTGGTTAAATGAACATATAATGAAGATCACTTTAAACATTTCCAGATATCGACAACTTACTAATGTGATATTTACTTTCTTGTTTTACTTTCATCAGTATAGAAGTCGTGAAAATGGTTAAATATTGTTGAGATCTCGGATCCATTTTGGTTAGGTAACCTTTGGATCACTGCTTCATTATAGTATGGGACTTCTTGGCAATACACACCCAGGAACCTACTAATTTGGGTCGAACTCGGGACCTTTGATCTCTAGAGTAAACACTTTATCTCCAAACTACTGAGCATTTGACTTCATTAGACACCTTACTCATGCTCTACATGGTTGAACTTCACTGATCATAGCTTTTCGATGGAACTCCTGAATTCCACTCATGAAGCTGCTCACTAGTAATCAATCACATGATGATTATCAGTAAGGAAACTGTAGAAATTGTTGAATATTATTGACACATAACTTTGAGTAAAGTAAGCATATTTGTAATTTTATTTCAAAATGAATACATTTACTCAAAATGATTTAAATTTAATATACCAAGTAAAAATCTACATATTCTTTCTTTATTTCATATCTATTACTATTTAGAAAACTATGACCAATCTCAATATTCATTTATTGAAAATATAAATAATGCAAGACATGTACATTCAACAAGTAGCACCAATACAATACCAGTTCATTCACCTGAAATGCGTAATATGAATTCATTTAGGCATCATAATGATTTACTTTATTTAAGTAAAAATTTCAAATCTGCTGAATGTGGACTAAATAATTTAGATGGTGGTGATAACCAAGTATTTAATATTGATACCTATAATGATAATGTTTTAGCAAGAATGCAAGAACGAAGTCGTAATAGTGCAGATGAAGGAACATTCAACTTGAATTCAAATTACCGCATGATTTCACCAAATTATACAATGAAAGATAGAAAACCTGTACATAATTTAAGTAAGAAATGAGATTTTATTGAGTTTTCTCTTTTATTACTTTGTTTTACTATACAGTTTACGATAAAATGGTTTTGGTAAGTTAAGATTTAATATATTCATAACTTAAAGAACCATACACCTTACGGTTTTTAAAACGTAAACTGATGTAATATGTGAATTATACATAGGAAAACTGAAAACGCTCTTGATCGAATGTTGGTACACTGATATACTAATCAGATTGGATTATTTTGATGCCTACATTTAGTTTTCTAGCCAGAAAGACCTTGTTTAAGGTTCCTGAATATCAGGAAGGTAGAAAGAGGAATGGTCAGAATGAATAATTAATTTTGTAGTGTTAGCTGCTTTCATTAAGGTGAGGCTTTGGAAACTTTACTGTATTTTGGGTGTGGATGTAACAATTTACACACGCAACTCCTCTACGCCACACTATCACATCTTTTAACTCCGAGAATTTCTCTACGAAAATGAGGTTTTTAAAAGACGGCTGTAACATTATACATATTCATTTGATAGATCACAGTATACTCTAGTCATAAGGGCTTCTATTAACTCACTGAAATACAGTAAACAAACCTCTTTAAACTGCAAAACAGATCAATTTTATGAAGCTTCGCAAACCTATGTACTTACTGTGCTTAAGTTAATGTAGATAAGAGGTTTTACTGACAAACCACCGCGCTTAGGACAAATATTTCGTCTAACGATTCATATTATCTACTTTACCTTTAAGATCATATGTTGTTGGGCGGCATGCACTTAAAAAACAGGGTGACATAATGTCTGTCCTGGTTGCAATTAAAAGATCACACTAGGCTTAGTAATTTTCGAAGCAAATCTGTCAAGAATTCATTCTCTTTTTTGAGTAACTGGTTGAAACAAAATTTTTCCTATATGTTTCTGTGCCTGAAATTCTCTTCTGATTGGTTTATGCTAAACCAGCACCAACCCCAAATGCAGATGCTAGGTTTCCTAGGAGTAAGTTGGAAAAAGCTAGAGATAAGCAAATCTAAACGTGTTATCAATACATTGAATCAGAGACTGTTAATATGAGCCATGATAGCGGATGCAGACCACATGATTAGAGTCCATTTGACAATGGCAGTCAGTATTTGGATGACATGGCTCAGAATCAGTCATTAGCTGACTCTCCTTGCTAATGGAACATGCAAAAGTATCTAAGTTACCGAACAGTATATACTGTTACTAACAACGCTTATTGCTTTTGCTCTGGGATTTTAAAAAACACGAAAAAATCTTTTCTAAGATAGAGAGATCGCTTTGAGCACCTTAGAGATGATCACATACCACTGTTAGGGGTGTTGGTGTTAAGTTTCAACACTTTACTCATTGCTCATTGAATGACATTACACTAAACAACATGGAGTATTTAGACCTAGTAGTGTTATTTGTAAGAGGAGTTGAGGCGACTTTAAAATAAGAGCATATACTACAAATATCCAAAGCTTGTTTGTTTTGACGTCTAGTTTAAGAATAGAGACTGAAGTGACAGTCTTTTTTTACCACTTTACCTATTTGTCAATATCTATGTTATACTGGCTATCTGAGCGATTTAGCCTTGTTGTTAATTTGCCAAATTATAACAACTATGATTTATCCTACTTCTGTTACATAATAAGTTTACTGTGCAGAATTCTACCTTATGTTACTATGCAAATGTTGAAAAAGAAGACAACAATTAAGAATTTCAAGTATTTATTAATGTATGCCTCTGATTATTGTTTACATGAAATACACATACCGAATCAATGTCTACACTAACATGAAAATACAAATTAATTAGGTTTATAAAAAGCTAAGATTAGTCAGATCAATCAAAACATAACACGAATCAGTTATTTTCATTATTTATATTTGCTTCCTATGACTATTATGAAAATTCATATGAATAAATATAAGAACACTAAATGGATCTTATGAAAAAAATTTTATGTAGATCTATCACAATATTTCAGATTGTTCAAATGAACAAAACAATATACAAAAACCGAAGTAACATTTAAACAAATTACACTATGAAATATACATTGTTGTTTTTTTTTCTATGGTTTGGTATATGTTCAATACAGTTTTATATTACTATTTTTATAATAAATTGTAAATCTACTTTTATCAGAAATAACCTAACAATCAGGTGATCATCATTTGTAATAAAATATCATGTAGTTGTATTGATATCAGATGTGAGAGAAAGAAAGGAACTTTGAATTATTAAAATTCTGTTCATTTACTGTTGAAACAAAAACTTAATTAGGAAAAAAAATTCTGTCAAGTTATTGACAAATATTAACTTTAAGTTATTTATTTCCTATACATTAATCTTGTTCACATGATAACAATAAGTAACTAGAAAGAATACAGATTAAATTCCATTGTTAACTATGTTTTATATGAGGTAGTTAATCATAACATATAATAACATTTGATAACATAGCTGCTGATAGCCCTCAAATGCCCTGGTATGGCCGAGATTGGGGAGAGTCAGCTCTCCCTCTAGAAATGTTCTCACATGGTCACGCGTATGTAGACACTACCAGGGAAGTCCTACCTACTGCCTTCTCGCGACAGGGGTATTGTTTACAAAATTGAGAGGACGAAAAGCGAAAGTTAGACGCTTTAACAGGGTTAGTGGATATAGAGGGGGAGTTGGAAAACCCTTATTCCAAACCAATGGTGTATATGGGCTCCAGCATCCTAAGGAAACAAGTGGCGTATGAACCAATTGTTGGTCATCGGCTACCATGGGACTGAATCTCGTGACGTTGCTCCACTGCCTTGTGAATTAGACCTTTAGGTCAAAGGCTTGGGTTGTGGTCTCCTAAGAAAACCATCTGCTTCTGTTTGGGCATCCGGACAGTATCCCGGCCCTCACATAAATCGAATGATTTATGTAGTGCATATCTCTTTGGTGCCTCCTTGTACTAATGTTTATTGAGTTTTACACGTACAAGATTCAGTGATATACTAATTATAAGAAAAACATTAAAACAACTGTGGTTGAAATTCATAATTCACAACTATTTTTTTACCTATTTCTCTATTGCACTTCTCATACCTGTCACTCAGAAATATCAATAATTTGTGCAGTCATTACCTTTCCATTAACAATGAGCTCTAGTAATCTAGCCATCAGTAGTTCAGACGGGAGTTTGAATGTGGTCATAGTCAAAGATGATTTTTTTCTCACCTTGCTACACCTTTATATATTTAGGATCAAAAATATGCACACCTAGACATTTTGAACATATATTTGGATAGGATTTAAACCAATCACTTTTTTAAAATATTTATGGTTATACTGTTGACATTTATTCTTAGGACTAAGGAAAAAGACCACGGTCATTTTAATGTCATCCAATATTACGTTACTGACCATCATTAATTCTAAATAAGTGTAAAATTTGGACTAAAATATGAAGTAATTGTCATCAAAATGGGATCATGGCTAGCAGTGGAAAACGGGACTGGCATTTCTTCCTAGTCGGGATGCTTCTGCTTCAGGAAACCTCCAACTACTTGTTGATATTCTCACTGCAACTCAAACTTAGTACCTTTTACTTCTAATACTAACGCGTTGTCCAGTGACCTACTGATTCCAAATGGCCAGGGGTCTGGGTGAGGGATATCATTTTGATTTGAAGGGCTATTAATTTTCTACCGTTAATCTCAAGGGTTACAATTGATCTGTCTTTATTGGGATATGTGCTTACTGAGCAGATTTCCTTGAAATGTCAGGTACATCCAGATGATAAGTTCTAAATAAGATGAAAGCGTTTCCTGCCAATATACATCTTTAATAAAAACTTATGACAAAACAACAATATCAAGATAATTCCCTAAATATGCACATATACAAATATAAATTTATGAGTTGTGGTTTGGAACGTTAGCGGCGGGGGAATACAAACCCTTGAAAATCAAAAAGGGTTCTCAAATATAGAGTGGTGTTATGAACTGTTTAAATACATCAAAATAGTTCAATGTTTCATACGGTAATTAAAATGTCTTAAATATTTAAATGACTGTATCGATATTCGATGTACAACTTACTTGAGCAGTTTCATTTTTTTTTATTTTTCAATATAGATTCAACTATACTTTATAATAGAGATCATCTCTACTCACAAGAATTACTGAATCGTTTAATTCAAAGTTCACAGTCAAACGGTTACACAAATTATACACCAGTTTTTAACAAACCGTCACATAAATTATCGACCAAAAATAATTATCATTTTTCGGAATTAAATAATCAACAAATTATCAAAAAACCAAGTGTACCAAAAAGTGGTTCACCATCGAAAGGAAGTTATTTAACTTCTTCCGAAATTGAAATTCACTTACCAAGAGAATATCAATCTTTTCAATCAAATCAACATTCAAAGAATTCATTTCAACCTACTATAAATTCTAATAATATCGGTATAAACAATCAAAATTCAACAAAAACATTTTCGGAGAACCAAAATTTGAAACAATCCAAATTGAATAAATGTTCAGGTTCTGATCGATTATCTTCAAAGAAATATTTAAAATCTGATTGTAGAAAGAAACTTTTATTAAATCGAGATGATTCGAAACTACCAATAAATAGATCTAAAAGTCCACCACAAATGTTTATATTACGTAAAAGTGCATCACAACCTTGTATTTACAAAAATGATATAAATAAGGAAGAAATTAACAGGTATTAAAAAAACAACAACTTGAATATGTATAAGTAAATGCTACTATTCATTGTTCTAGTTTTTTTTTTTTTTAATAAATGGAATTCATATTCTATGTAATCCACTTAGATATATAAAGAGTAGGAGAGAGAAATTACCATAGCAATCAATAAAAGTTTTGGAATTTCCAACAACAGGATTTTTATTATTATACCTTTACTTAAAAGCAAAATATAGTGAATTGTCCGCTTCTCTTTAATACGCTTGTGATATTAATGTTAGAAGTTTGATGACTGATTAAATTTTCAAATGAAAGCTAATAAGGAGATTTAACATTTCTTATACGAGTTAGTTAGCTAGTTTTAAGTTATTTTGAATAGATTAACTTCATTACAAAGAATCATTTTGATTTCCAAAACAACACTTTACGTTATAGAAATTTGAAATGATTTCTATTTTTATGTTTTCTGTGTTATTTATATTTCACCTCTACAATACAGTATTTAAGAAATTAATAAATTATTGTGGGATAGATGAAATTATCAGTATAACTTTATGGAGATTATTGAATTTTTATTAAGGTCATGAACCAACCAATGTTAGATCACCATTGAAAACCTGGAAGCACCAGACGGCCGTTTCTGCCTAGTGTGGAACTCCTCAGCAGTGCACACCCATGATTCTGCGTGTTGGAATCGGGCCCAGAACCTTCGGTCTCGGACGAACGCTTAACCTCTGGATCACTGGGCCCGCATCCATCGTCCAGAGCCTACGGGTTTTCAATAATGTTCTGACATTTATCGGTTCATGATCTCAACATAGGATTTCCTCTGAATGTGGGAATTCGCAAAGCCAGTACACACAATTATGTACTTGAATGGCGTTTGAAGCGAACGGTACTGAGTTCGAGTCCGAGAGTGAACATTAACTCTGAGATGCAGGTACATTCAGCTGACGAGTCCCAAACAGGATGAAACGCGCGTCCTGGATTCCACTGCTAGCCACTATCCATCTTTGCTTATAAACATGGTCTTAGTTTATTATTCACAACTGCACCAGAATTATTAAACAGCTTTTTACACCTCCCTTTGCACTCGCCAAAATTATAACCCGAAAATAATAAGTAATAATAATAATAATGGAAGAAGTTGAGTGTTTGTTATCTGCTTTTATTAAATGATTTGGCTTTTTGTAACTACTTTCATAGATGCTCAGCCGCCCATATTGTAAATTACGATTAGTCCCCTATTGCATACGTGTGTCCACAAAAACATGTAAATTGATAAACACAGTGGAATAAGATGCAATCGTTTATATACTGTTTGTATTCTTAGTATTTCAGCAATGGTTTTAACTTTTCTGTATTTGATTCATGCATCGTGATACGATAAAATATAAGAATTGAAATGAGTAGGTGAATTCTACTTGTATTAGGTGTCCAATAGTGTTAATGTTATATCACCTAATAGAGAACTAGGTAAAATAAGTAACAACCCATAAGAATATAAAAAGTCGTGGACATTTTCATTTGAGCCTAGAACTAACTAACTGTATTAAGAAGGAAAATTTACTGTATTATCAATATTCATAACGTCTAATTATTGTCAATATCACTTTAAATGAGTTTATCAATATTCTCAAAAGAATATGTATCATGTCACTTAAAAGCAGCATCAATTTGAATAAAATTTCCATTCCCTTATTTCTATTTAGCTGGAAGACGATTTGAGCTGTATTATATGTCTTGTTTAATCCATTGTCTCATTGACTTACGTAGGCTATTTTAACAACACATTGCGGAGCGAATAATTGATTATTTCAGTCATCAGAAAAGACCTAGTTTCCAATAGTAATAATAATAATAATAGTGGTAATAATAATAATAAAAATTATGTTTTTGAGTTGAAAAAGGCAGGCTGGATGCATGAAAAAGTATTTGTTTCATTTCATTTCAAAAATATGCACATAATATAAAAAGTATAAAGTTTTTCAACAGTACACTTCTCTCTAAGTTGTAGTATGATTTTTAAGCATTAAATTACTATCTTGACAACAAGCTTCATTATTTAGAAAATGTAATCGTATTTCAAATCATCACTACGTAGTATAATCTAATAAAATGATGTATTAAATTTACAAATTTTAATTCATGTTTCAACATATGAGCACCTAGAACAAAAACAAACGAAAAATTTACGAAAATTAATTGAAAAGAATGATTGCATAGTGATAATCTCTAGAGATGATTTTGTGAATTGACATTTTTATTAAGGTCATTTAATAAAAATTCATAACATTCTTCTTTATAACACTTTAAAATAGTATAAATCTAACCAACTATTCTCAGGATGCATATGACACAGATCGATCTCAGTTGAGGGATATCTAAAAACTAGGGCATATCAGATAGTTTTTTTTTCTAGTATAGGACTCCTTAATAATGGTCAGCCATAATATCACCAACGATCAGACCAAGGACGTTTAGATCTCACATAGAACGTTTAACTATTAAAATCATTGAGTCAATATTATGTAGTACAATTTCAACACTTATGATGTGTATCAATACATTAAAAAGACTACTACTCATCAGATCACATTTTATTTTTTCATATGTTTATTATATATATACATAATTTATTTATAATGCAGGTTGAGTCCCCCTCAAAAATATCCTCTTATCAAACAGAGTAGTGAATTGAATGCAAACAAATCATCAACTGAATCAATTGATAGAGAAATTTTGGATATTGATTATAAGGCTTCAACATCGTTATGGTATGATCACAATGATAATAATAGTAATGTGAAGAAAAATACTTTTAATGGTCTTGTTAATCATGGTAATGATCAACACTGTTTACAAGATACTAGTCAATTATTACCATCATATCCTCGTATAATAAAACAAGTTTCTAAATTGCCTAAACATATTGAAGTGGATAAAGAAAAAGATTATGAATATAGTTCAAATTCAACAAGTCAGTCAAGTACTTCAAATATCACAAATAATCATATAAAAACTAAACATAAATCTATGACGAATTATCAATATAATGATAATAAATTAAAAGTTATTCATGCAACTGATAATACAAATAGTGTGAAGAAGTAAGTAATATATATTTTTTCTCACGGGTTTTGAACAACGAACTGATCTTAGACCATTATTGAAGGTTTGGGAGCACTGTTTGGTTATTTCATTTTAATATAGAACTCTTCAACTGTGCTAATTCATAACTCCACATCTCGGAATCAACCCCAAAACCTTCAGTCGTAAGCGCTAACGCCTAAACTCTAAACCACTAAGACGGAATCTGATGACATGCACACTTAGTTTTAGTCAGTCTGAGATTGTGCTCGACAATTATTCATCATCTTTGACAGGTATTTTCTTCATGCTCCATACTATTGAGTTCTATTGGTAATAGATTCTCACTAAAACTTCGTGAATCGCATCTTGAAATTAAATGCCAGTGAGCACATAAATATCAGCTTGTGATTTAAAATCCATGAGAATTTCATAATCTCTACAACGCCGTATACTGGCATATATGCCGAAATTATAACATTTCTTGATAATTTTAACAAAAGTGATCCTGGCATACCATCCTACGTGGGTTGTTATATGAAATTTTGTACTCTTATAGTAGTCCATATTCTATAAATTTTATCATTCCATTTTTCCCTCTTAATTACTTGTAGGCCGATATATGAACAAAATGAAACTAGTTATAATAACGTACATATATCAAGAGAATGTAAACAAAATAATATTATTGATCACAATGATTCCTCCATCTTATCAAACTCTTTGTCTACGCTAAAATTGTCGAATGGAACTGCAAATCAACAAAACCGAATCATAAGTAGCAACTGCACTACTGCTATGATAAAGACTAATAATAATAGTAATAATAATGGTGATTTGAATAAATTTATAAAGCATACATCCGATGATCAGTTGAATAATTATGAGTTAGATTTAACAAATGACTCTGGTATATCATCTGTGAATAAAGATTCGATAATACCAAGTGGTGTAATCTGTTTACATAAAGAAATTAATCATATGGTATTTGGTCCTTCTCGCAATCCACTCAATAATGCTGTGTTGAATTTCACAATTAGTGAACGAATAAATACACCAACGTGGTTAGCTTTATGCACGGATGAAATGAAAGTTTATGTCTATGATTTATGGGTAAGCAATGAGTAAACTTATCCCAAATTATGATAGAAATCGAAATTAATTAGGAGTGTTATTAATCTAATGAATGTAGAACTCTGTATACAGAATTTAAAAGTAATAAATGAACAATGTTGAATTGATGAGGAAAATGAGATGCTTCCATTTAAGTTTAGTCTGACCAGATGTACAATCATAAGACAAATGAGGAATATTGGTTACAATTTCACTTCGATATTGGTACCGTTAAAAACTAGGCAATGCTGGATAGTTCTTTCATCCTAATATGGGACTGATCGGCAGTGTTTTCCGCGGACTTCAGTAGCAATTGAGCCTAGGACCTCCATGTTTCACCAAGTGGTGTAAGACTTGAAGGTTCTAGGTTCGTTTCCTGGTGAGGTTGGTGGTCTACATTGTTGATCAGTCCCATACCAGGATGAAACAGCTGTCAAGTATTCCCCGGGTTTTGATATTATCTCTACTGAAATGATTTTTCGACAAATATTATTTTAAAATTTAAATTACCTCCACGACCTCCCGTCATCTAAAGTGAGAAGTATCTGATTTTGTGAGTAAGCAAATCATACTTAATACAAAAACTTGAAAATCCTATTGTACAAAACGATATGCGATTAGGACAACGATGATAGTATCAAAGTTATGTAAGTAAGAATAAGTCGTAAAGAGTTTTTTAATTTATATAATATCATTTCTAATTTCATTTACAAACTTTGCAGATGGTTGCATAAAGTCGATGATCTATTTGAAGTAATAAATGCATCTCGATGTCTTACTCATTCAAGTCCAATCATTATTGTTTCACAAAATGTCGATATTATTTTAGTCGAAAATATCGATTAGCACACTTAATGAATTATTAGTCATGCTCAGTAAATTTCATTTTCAGTAGGTGTGCTATATAGTAATATGTTATATTTTCCAGTTTGATTTCATCAACCTTAATAAAGTAGATATATATGTCAATAACGAAACATTAGTTGTTAAAACAAAACTTATTCAGTATAATTTGATGTTTCACGTGGTACACACACAAAATAAGCGACAACAACCCAAGAAACTCGCTAAAAATTGTGTAAACCATGCTGTGTAGAAAAAATACACTCATTTAAAACTATTAAATATTACTGACACTGTATTTTCTGATTTTCTGGCACTTACTCTAAAAGGAAACAAGTTAAAATAGGTTGTCATACAGAAGTACATATAAAAATAGAAAGTGTATTCAGCTAAGCACTTCTACATTGAGAACAAGTTCTTTACTTATGTTAATTGTATTTTACAAAACAAATAATTGCAATAATTTTTTTCCCTCAAGTTGCAAACACTGAATACAAGGGGATATGAATAAAGTAGACACATATTTAATTATCAATAGCGTTGTGGAGATTGTTGAGTTTAGATTGATATATCATGAATGGAACAATGTTCGACCACCATGGAACACCTGTAGGCACTGGACGGCCATTTTGTCCTATCATAGGGCTCCTCAACAGTAATCACTAGTGGCTGGCTTCAAAATGGATTTCCCGGAGTTCTAGTGAGAAACCATGACCAGTGGAGTTCAACCGTGTCTATTGTGAGGCAGTTAATCACTGGAGACAGTGATGGACGGTCGCGAAATTTCGTGAATTGGTTAATTTAGGCATTAACATCGTTGGATGCCGGCTCAGTGGTCTGGAGGTTAAACGTCCACGCGAGACTGGAGGTCCTCGGTTCGAGTTCGTTTGGTGCGGGATCGTGGACGTTCACTGTTGAGTCCTATGCCAGAACGAAAAGGCTGTCTAGTGCTTACAGGTTTTCAGTGGTGGTCAAACATTGTTCTATTTATGATATATCAACAAATTTAATTCATAATCCATGCAAAAGTAAATATAAATTCTAAGATGACGGCACTTAATTTACTCAATTTTAGTGTAAATTTATTGTTAACTGACGTTTACTTCTGAATTGTGCAAAAATACCATCACAGTTATTCAATAAAAAGGAATTTAGTAACTGGACTTTAAAAAAATATTAAAAAACAGCTATTTAATAATGACAATCAATGCATAACGATCAAATAAGATGCAAGTATTCAGAAACCACATTATCTCTCTGAAATCACTAATTAACATACCTCATTTCAACTCGTAATAACTCAGGATCGTAGACTAACATCCCTCACCTTAGGTATTTTTCACGATAGGACAGTGAATGAATGCTGGTTGATAATCCTTGATTCATATCTAGTTAGAAAAATGTTCGGATAAAATATTTGGAGAACTCGCGAATTTCTTAACAAGTAGTTCTCACTCATTACGGGAAAATTTATTCCAAAAGCTTGAGCTTTACAATGAACCTAAAATATAATAAGATCATAGACGATAAAAGCAATATTTCCTATAAATAAGCTTACCTTGTCAGGTTAGTAACCCGATCTCTCACACATTTGTGTTAATAAATCCTTTCTAATTACAAAAACTCCTAAAACACACGGTCATAAACGTTCTTAAGAAAAGATATACTACGGATTTTCATTCTTGCCTTCAACAAAAGTTTATGATACTACATGTTAAGGCAAAGTAGCTTACGACTCGGTTGAAAAAACAAGTCTCCAAAAATAAGAGATTTGATCTTGTATATTTAAGTTTCTGAGAATTTCTTTTCAAAAATTTGATTGCGAGTTGAATAAATAGACAAAACATCTAAAACTGTTATTCTTCAACTTAAAGTAGAATAATCTGAAAAGCTTGAAGGAATTGAAGTCATTAATTATATGATAAACCAAAAAGTTCGGTCCTCTGAACACGTTTCAATGTTCTACGTGAATTACGTATATTAACTATGATCTCACATTACCCAGGCATAAAATTCAAAGTGTATTCTTATCCAAATTTTGAGAGTCATCAAGAACTAATCACAAAAATTGGAACCTCCATGAACGACTTGTTTATACAACTCTTAAATCCTGATGATCACTGACCTGAATTATGAAGTTAAATCCAATAATGGAAATTCCCATGGTCAAGGCTGAATTACGTTACAGCACTTCTACTAAATTTGAATTATAATTGGCTTTTAATTATCTACTCACCTAAGGTGTCTGATTTGATCCAAACCTCTGTATTATTACATGTCTTGTGTATAATTCTCTATAGCCTTAACATTATCAGTAAATAGTAAGATGGATTACTTTGTCATTCATTGTAGATCATTTACACAAATTTTGAGGAGTACAGGGTTCAAACGAAATTTTACCTCGTCTATTTGAGATCTGAACATGTTTATTTAACAGACAATTTTAAGAATTAAAATCATCATTTTTCGTTAAAATAACTACATGTTAACACTTCATTGTAATATAATTTATACTTTCAAAAGTACAAATGGAGTATTTATTAACCTTTAAAAGAATTTCCACAATCAAAAAGTAGACTTAAAATTTTGAAATATTATAGAAGATTCAGCAAGATACTTGATAATTATACAAGTACAATTACATACTTACTTACGCCTCTTCCTCCCAATGGAGCATAGGCCGCCGACCAGCATTCTCATACCCACTCTGTCCTGGGCCTTCTTTTCTAGTTCCATCCAATTCTTGTTCATTCTTCCAACGTCTGACTCCATTTCTCGGTGTAATGTGTTCTTTGGTCTTCCTCTCCTCCTTTGGCCTTCAGGATTCGATATGAGGGCTTGCCTTGAGACGCAGTTGGGTGCTTTCGTCAGTGTGTGTCCTATCCACTTCCAGCGCTTCTTCCTGATTTCTTCCTCTGTTCAGATCTGGTTTGTTCTCTCCCACAGTAGGTCGTTGCTGACAGTATCTGGCCAACAGATCCGAAGTATTTTGTGTAGACAACTGTTAATAAACACTTGTATGTTCTGGACGATGGTTTTCATAGTTCTCCATGTTTCCACCCCATACAATAGAACTGTCTTGACACTTGTACTTAAAATCCTGACCTTGGTGTTGGTTGACAGTTGTTTTGAGTTCCAGATGTTCTTCAGTTGTAAATATGTTACTCACAAATATCATTAACCATTCAGTAATATTATAAATGACAAAATTTCAGCGAATGAGCTTCTGATTCTATAATAAATGTATAATTTTGGAAATTACTGTAAAACAATGAAACACCATTATCAATCAGATTGATCTCCAGTAAAATTCGAGCAAATTATAGATTTCATTACTTAGTGGCATTAAAGATTCAAAACAAGAAAAATGAATATGTTATCCAACTATTATCCTGTGATGTTTTAAATTCATTCTGTCAGTCATTACTAAAATAGATTTTGTCATCTATGTACGCATACCTTTACAAGTAAACTAATTAAGGTTGTTAATCATGTAAGTAAATGTAGGAGGATTCGAAAACATGTCAGTCAACTCTATTTAAAAAAAATTAAACTGAACTAATACTCATCTTTTCCTAGTAATTCATCACAAAATTCTTCAGAAAAAATCAGTAAATAAAGTTAAGAGAAATAAGCCAAAAAAGAGATAGAAAGCTGAATTGTATAAGAGTAAACAACAACAAAAAAAATAAACTTTTTGTGATATATTAGCGCATTCCATTTCAAGGTGATTCAAATAAAAAAAAGACGTAAACCAGTCATCAACAAAACGTATTGCGCAGCAATGGTCATTATCAAAGAAAGAACATGGTGCATGCTTCATCCAAAACCTAAAAAACATGAAAACGATTGTGTCATATCTCACTGTGTCTACCAATTTAAATGTTTGTATGGTCACACATACATAGGGAAGAGCATTCGTGATCTTAAAATTAGGGTATGTGAACATGTACCAAAATGATTGTAGAAATAAATAGGATCAAGTGACCAATAAGAGCAGAGGATAAACATCCATCATCCTCTATTGCTAAACATATAATCGAAACAGGCCGTAAGACTGATCTTAACTCGGCTTTTGCAGTGTTGTAGAAAGGTGTAAAAGGGCGTATACTAAAATTTACTAAAGCCTTAGCCATACGAAAATTTAAACCCCGTTTGTGTATTCAAAAACCTACCCTGGTAATATTGGCTTATTACCCAGAGTGATTAGGTTTCACATTGTGTTCACATTATTATTATTACTCATTATTATTATTATCCTTGTCTCCTGTGACCCCCATTTCCAGTCTAGTCGACCTTTAATTTTTATGTATAAATGTTCTTAACAAGTATATTATATGTGATCAGATTGTTCGAAATGTATTGCGCTAATATATCACATAGTTCTAATAGTCTTCGTCTTCTTATTACATTGTTGAAATTCATCAAAGGGACTAATTGCTTTGAATAAACTTTTGTTTTAAAAAGGTCAAAATTTAACTTTGTTCAGGAAATTCAAAGTAAAAATAACAAATTAAGTGTCAATAAATCATTATTAAAATATGGTTTGTGTGTATGAATAAATAAAAGTCTAATTTTATTCCATTTTTTCCCTGTAGTTTACGTCAAGCACTAAACTCTAGCTAGCTGTTTCAGTCTCCTCAGTAACATGTATCTACAATTCCGCTAGGTATAAATCAATAAGTTTTAGTTCTTGATATAAATCATAAGTCAAATAATTTGTATAAAACTGTCATACTAATAAAAATCTCGTTCCGACTGTTGACTAACTCTGACATTATATTGAGAGTCATCGAAAACCAAAGAGCATTGAAGAACAGTTTCATTATAGCCCAGGACTCTTTAGTAGTCTGCGCCTACAACTGAGGACTATATCAAAACAGTTGGAGGATAACTAACTCACTGCCAACTCTACTGGGTCCATAAATCACATTTTATCTCCATGAATTTGTCAGGTTCATCTCAAACTAATTACCAAACATACCACTAGTCAGTAAATGTACTTAACTTACGAGGATGAGTTTCGTACGTAACAGGTTGTTTTGATGAAATATTGAAATTAATATTATTCAAGGGTTCTTTTCTGAAAATAAAAGTAATGAGGTGATTTAGTATATTTAGGATCTTTTTGTAAAATAAGTATATTTTGTAGATAAACACTGAAAAAAATTATTATTATAGTTATTATTATTATCATTTCACTAAGAATCCACCAGTAATTCTGTTCTAATTTTCTGGTCTAGATACAGAATATGTAAAGTTAATCCACAAGTCTATATTTTTTAAGCATTTAACTATCACTGTTCAAGGTTATGACTGTCAGACTACACTTTAGACATTTTATTTTCAGAAACAGGTAGCTTGTTTCATCAGCATTCAATAAAAACAAAATCGTTTCTTCATTATAAACAAACAGATAACATTTTGGTATCTAATAATTGTTGAATTAGAATGAAGTTGTAAATATTTTGCGATTATCAATGCCAATAACATATGACATAGATGGCTATACCAAGGCAATCCTCAGAGGATGCCCATATTCCAATCAATAATCGTCAAGAATACTTCTTAATATCAATAATAAGATAACTTAAATCCTTACTAATACTAATCTTAACATTATACTCATTAAACAAGTTAGTGGATATATAGACTCAGTGGTTTAATGAATAACAGATTGAGTGTTTGAAGCTGATGTTACTGAATTCGAGTCCTGATGTGAATTGCAACAGTAGGTTGGAAGTACTTCCGGATAACTAGTCCCAGGTAAAACGAAACACTTGTCCTGCTGGTGAACAAATAAACTCTTTTATGTAAATAACAGAGTTACATCAAACCAACTCCAAACTTATAAAATGACTACATAAAAATACAAATTTTCTTTATACACAAAAGAGACAACTCATTTACTTCTTATTTCTTTTCTAAAAAAATATTTAAATTTTATAGACCCATAGTTGTTTAACAGAATTTATGAATCATGCTATTTCATCAACGAGTCCTGTAATACATCTATTCTCATTGAATCCACTAGAATATTCTGATAATTCAAAAGCACATGTTGGATTTCTATGTGTTGTTCAAAAGAATGGAATTTTAACACTATATAACATAGCTGTAAGTTGAAAATGCTATTTTTTCTTTAAAAAAATCTTTTTTTACTTTATTGTTTTGTAACAAATTTATAGCATTAATGAAAAGAACAATGTCTATCGATAAATGAACACATACCTACACAGAGATATAGGATTATATTGAATTGAGGGTTTCTATGAGAAAAGAGAGGTCCATTTATTGTCATACAATTTTGTCAATAAGTACTATTAAATAATGATTAGTAAACAACATCATTTAATGAAATATTTTGTAAATTGGAATCTACGGGAAAATTTTGACAGTAAAACGTATGATACTAATAGTTTTATTTAAATACTAGATTTCATGTAAGATATAGTATAAGTTTATTTGTTACAAATTCTCATTTTCATTGATTGGTTGAAACTAGACATTAATACCGTTAGATGCCGGCTCTGTGGTCTAGTAGTTAGGCGCCCGCGAGGCGAGGTCGTGGATGCGCACTGCTAAGGAGTCCCATACTAGAACAAAACGGCCGTCCATTGCTTCCAAGTTTTCCATGGTAGTCTAGCTTTAATCGACTCATGAATTCTTCTATTAAATTAGTATAATATCCACAGAATCCCTTTCTGAACATAATCATTTAATGAATGAACAATTGCGAATGATATATTAAAAAGTGAGATATGCGTAAGTAATTAAGGCGAAAACAATAAAGTTATTGTCAATAATATGTACCAACACTTGGAGTTTATTTACTTTAATGAAGAATGGTAAGATTCAAATTTTATTTCTAATACAGTATTTAAAATTCCCTAATCAAATATATTTTGACTAAATGGTATCGATCATCATCTATTTTCATTGATCTGTAAATATGATAATTTTAGGCGCTAAATGTATTTATAAACTTTTCTCCATTCATGTCTAATGGGTGGATAATTTCGAAGTGGTAATACGTTTCCTCGGCAAAACATCAGATGGTATTTTATCATTGTATTAAGGCCTTGTAAGAATTATTGAATTTCAAAATTTACATAATGGACCAATCTTAGTTAAACACCCACTGAAAACCAGGAAGTATTAAATAGTTGTTTCCTCTTAGTACGGAATTCTTCACCACAGTGTACACCAATGAATCTATTGAGGATGAAACCTGAGACCTTTAGATACTACATAGAGAACTTGTCATACATCTGTGGCGGAATTCAGTAGTTTACAGTTTTGATTCCAATCACTCTATGACACCTCATGACTATATTCCGCCTTCATCCCACCCGACGTTGTTAGACTCCCTTAGTTATTTTAGCAATCTTGTCTTAATTTAACATACCTATTTTATCATTTATAGAACTAATATATTATTATTGTAATAAATAAATAAATAAATCATATTAATCTCTCTAAATTTGTAGTTTTGAAATTCACATTTTACACCCATTAATTATAATGATCTCATATTCGCAGATCCGAAGAGTTTATTCGTTAATTACATCATGTTTAACTTAACATGTGACTTTAAAAATAAATTTGCACACAATAGTATCTTATCTAGTATTACAAATACACTACAAATCAAATTAATTCATTGAAAAACTGTATAAACCGTAAAAGATGTTAATTAACAGTTTGTCATCAAATGTTAACGAACTTAATACACGTGATCGATGATTACTAAGTTAAGATCAATGGATTATTTTTGTTAGCAATCTAATTAAAATCAAATTCCTTTAAAATTCATCTCCTTTATACATGTTTGAGGAGATTATTGAATGTTTTTGATATTACGGACCGACATCCATTAAAAACCTGGAAGTACTACTCATCAGTAATATTCAGTAATCTTCACGAATCTCTGTACTGATAATTGTCAGGCTCTCACTAGTGAATAACTTCGAAAGGCAATTCTGGAATTCTCGCAGGAAGTCGTGATCAGTAAATTTCAGATGTGTTAGTTATAAGTCAGTTACCTTACAAAGACAAAAAACGTTGGCAGCCGAATGTAGTATAAATTAAGTGGAGCTGAACAAATACATTATCAAATTTCCTACTCAGTTGTCTGTAAGTTAAGTGTTTAAACATTAGACTGAATTTTGTGGTGTCACTTTTCTGTAAGATTGTGGATGGTCATATCTGTGAAGTACCATACTAGAACAAAAAAGCTGTTAATTGCTTCTTGCTTTTTGATGAATGTATAACAGTTGAATTCGGGATCTGAATAAAACGTACCTTTTTTTAGATATCTAACTGTTATTGAAAATGATTTTAGTTTAATGTACATTTAAGTTTTGTAATTCCTATGGGAATTAAATATTTTATAAATCTTAAGATTTTTTAAAAAAACTGCTTCATTTATACAATTAGGTTTTATCACAAATTTATTTAGAATTAAAAATCATTTCTGGATATTTTGACATTAATAATGATGAAAAAAATAATGCTCAAATGTACAAATCTAATATTTAAGAAAGAGAAATCCTTGTTTTATTTTTATATGTAGACTCGAAATATGATTTCAAGAACAATATTGGAATGTGAAGTATATTGTGCTAGTTTAATTCCATGTCAAGGTAAACTAGATCAATATTTACCTCAATCTATATTCAGTATTGATACATATGGTTCATTAACTATTTCTCAATGGAAAATTATAACAAATAATAAAGATACAGTTCTCAATGAACCTACATTATGCGATGAAACATTAGAAATTGGAACAAACATTTTTAAAGAGGTGAGTTTCATTTCATATATATGTATATAAATATATATTTATGACAAGTAACGATTATTTTGGGTATGGTCAACTTCTACAACATTTTTATTTCATCCATACATTAAATGATATATACATAAAATCAACTCTTGTTGAATGGTGGGAAGTATAAGTGGTCTCAGTAATACCTATGATCGCTCAATAAAGGAAACAAAATGTTATCATATACTGTATTGATTTAATGTGACCCTACTATGATTCTAAATTAGAAATTGTGGTAGTTGAGGATGCTTCAAATTAAAGCATTTGTGCAGTTCTTTCACAGAGATGGCCATATGCTACTCATCCGGGATACTCAGAAGTACCAGACCTAATTACAGCCTTATCAAAAAAGGGAATTCTCCTAAATATTTTTTCATTTATGAAGTTTCACGAAATGTTCCATAGTAGACATCTGACATAACTTATAGACCACAAACCATTAGTAACGATCTCTGGATCGGTGAGACGATAACTTAGGAATAAACCAATCAGGTTTAAGATACCGTATCTTAAATTTTGACGCGAAATTCCCTCATCCATATGGCTAAATAACATTTCAACATTATAGCTAATGTCGTTTCGTGATGAAAATCCTAATTTCTAACTCTAAATCCCGATTCCGATTTCTTAAACTAATTTATAATCGTTTTTTTGACCCTATTAGGTAGGTGGAGTTTATTAACTTTACTTGGCTTCGCTCTCCTAAAGATAAACTATAACTGTCACTCTCTCTCTCTCTCTTTATATATATATATACAACTAAAGAGGTAGTTTCTCTAGGGTATTCACTACTTTGTGTATGTTAAGAAGATTCAATATTGAATTGGTATTTATCATATTTCTAAGTAAAACAATATAACGTTAGTTGTGTTAAACAATGCTTTTTTAAATCATCAAACTACATTTACAAATTGATAATAAGAATTTAATTGGAATTTAAAAATGAAAATTTGACAAATAAGCAAACATAAATTAAGTAGAGTTTGATATATAAATTAAATAGGAGTAAAATTGTAGTAATCTGATGTCGTTCTACATTAATCAGTCTCTCTGACTATAACATTCCTATAATTAATTAATTTTAAACAAATCATATATACATGTTTGTATTAATTACGCCTACAATCGTAGGCTTTCTGTAAATATTCATAGTTCTTAAATATTGTTGCAATTAGTTAGTCGTTGATTTGATACTTATTTGCTATAACAAGCAACGTTAAGTAATAAATGTAAGAAATTTAAGGCCAGTTAATAAAAAAATCTCAGAGATATTTTTGTGTTTATTATCAGCTACCACCAACCCTGGTATGGATTGACAGTTAATATGTTCGATTAAGTGGAAGACGAGTGCGACCGAATCAAAAACATGACTTCAGTTCATGAAAACTGTTGGACTGTGTCGTATGATTAGTGTAGATGTTATATCAGGCTGATAAGCATTGAGCAGATAAACACAGTAGAAAGGATCCCTTTCTGCATAAATAATTTATTTGTCATATATTAACGGATATTTCCTTAATCGACATTCATGGCTCACGGTGAACGTTAAATCTTCAAATCGTTTTCATCCATTAGTCCATATTTTGAAATTCCATTAACTCATAATCTGTACCAGCTCTCATCCACCTCCGACTACTTTACTCTCGATATGAGTGAGCTTCCTATGTTTAGACTTCCAACTAGAACTTCAGGAGCTTATCTCTGAGTAAATCAGTAGTGATCATAAAATTATATTTTGGATGGAAGATTTTTGTGGAGATCCGTATAATTTTAAAAGACCGATGGGTGTTTACTACTGAAAGGTCTCATAGTATCATGAAATCGATATTCAGTCTTCCTCCCAAGTTAGACCTTGGCAATTACTACTAGTAAATTAAATGGCTTTTAACAATCTTTCTGCACTCAGTATTCTCTGTATATTCAATAATTTTTTTTTGAAAAAAGTGATATTAGTCACATACTTACATCAAACTAGTGAATAATTTTAAAGTCATTGAATAATACATAATATTTTCGTTGCTCTGTTGTTCTTTTTTTTCTAAAACATTAAAATAAAATTCTACTCAGATATCACGTAAAGGAAAACATGGAGATTTTAAATATTGTACATATATTCACGACAACTTTCGTTCACAACCCAATGGTGAATTAAAATTAAATAAAACAAACTCAAATATTGATAATTCACAAATGTATTCATTCAATGATATAAATCCATGTGAATTTAGTTTTATTACTGCAGCTTATGAATGTACAAGAAGAAAAATTCTACGTTTAACAAATTGGATTTGTAAAAGTAAAGGTTTACGTAATACTGTATCATATAATAAAATTTTATCAAATGATCCTAATTCTAATTTAATTGATATGACAGTTGTTGAAAGTGGATGTTCTGGTAGTTTATGTATGTGTTTTACAAATGAAATATTTTGGCTTAGTTTACATGTAAGTATTGATATTGTTTTGTTTATTATTATTAATTATTATTATTATTATCTATTTCACACAACATCTGTGAATCCAAACTGTATTTAAGTGATGTTGTTTAGATTTGTTTTCTGACAGTTTATCATATCTTACAAACCAGCATAAGTAGTCATGAATCAGTTTTAAATGATATCAAACTACAGATAAATATTTATCTTTCGATATTTCTTTAATGTTATTTAGTTCCTTCCACAATTAATATTAGTTTGTAGCAAACATTATAGTTTATTTAATCTAACTCATTATAAAAAGTTTCATGAATAACATCTACAAATATTAGCAAACTTCTATCAAGAGGATGCAAACAGTGAATTTCAATCATGTTGGTAGTAAGACGAATATCATTAATGCAAATTAATAATGTTTGTGTAATATTGCAAATTGGCAAGAATTAAATTTGTAAACTATTGAATACTAACTCTATGGTTCAAAGATATCATCCTTACTACAATTCTAAAAAATGGACTAAACATAATAGAACTAACAGGAGTATCATTCTCTAACATGCTTTTTGGAGAAAGTGGTTTGAAACTGAAACTAAGAGCTTTCTTAATCTCTTCATATTTCTTTAATGAAACATATTATTTGGCTTACTTAAAAACCAAGTACACTACAGATCCAAAATGCTAGAATCATTTTTTTACTAACTAGTAGGAATAGTTTTATTTTATGAACTACGATTATCTTTAAACGTTCCCACAACTTTTTAACCAGATATATCTTTTCGCCATGATGACAACAACAATTTGTATTACTGATTTTCCTATTATCGAAATTATGTATTGTCGTATAGACGTTTCAAATCTAATGTAATAATAGTTTACTACAGTGAAACCCCAATAAAGCATTCAATTTACTTGAGTTTTCCATTTATACAACCCTAAGAATAAATGACTTATATCATTTAATTAGTGTATCTAGAAATACATCACCTTGTTTTGCTAATATAGCGCAATGTTTCATAACATTATTTTAGCTATCGTGTTATAGCTCAAGGACACAGTATATCGTTTAACATAAAGATTTATTGAGTCAAAAGTTTCCCTTTTAGTAATATCATTGTTGTAAAAAAAAACTACAAAAGGTTTCCAAATAATACTGTAGCTAACGAAGAAATCAGATGGGGAAGACTGGTTTTTTGCTTAATGCAAACTTACAGTGTCTTAACAAAATACGAAAGTCATATATCCAATACATCACTTGCACATCTTCTACCAGTTCTCTCTTACAAACTTCATCGTTTCTTTATACCTGTTGTTATTGTAAATACTTTCTGTTTATATTCCTGTTCTCTTCTCAAACTTCTGCCCTCAAGCATTCATCTTCTGATTGGTGCCACATACTACTTATATTTGTCAGCATAATTAGCATACATCACAATACTTTTAAATTAACCATGGTTTTAAACTAACTGAATGACTTCTATAATAATCAACAATTGGAAAACATTTATATTCTCATCGCCATAACTCCTTAATATATACCAATAGAATTAATCGACAAAGTTTGTGTTTGATTAAGATACTTCTGTAAATTATCAATGTAAAACAGTAACCTACCATATCTCTGCTATATGTCAACATTATATATACAATTCCAAGTTCAATGTAATTTTGTTCAACATTAACATGTACAAATGAAGTAATAAAATAGATTGAAAAATTCAAATTGTCTGTTGTATAGTTTTTTGGCTTTCTCGTGAATTAAACAACAAATGCACATATTTCTATTGAACTCTCTATAGATTAAAAATGTACTATTCCGATTGTTTTTCTAAGAAAAATCATCTAATTTTTTATTTTCATTACTGTTTCACTTAGAAAACATTGATTCGCTCTTAGAAATTTTTATCATAAGAAAAAACTGATCTTTTTATTTTCATGTAAGCAAACAAAATTTTTTACCTAAATGTATAGAAATCTTCACTGGATGTTGTTTACTTGTATCTTCTCATTTTACAAGCAAGTGGCTATCAGAACTTAGTAGCTAAATGGATAACGCGATTGAGTTTGAAGCGAATGGTACTGAGTTCGAATCCCAGAGTGGACATGAACTCTGAGATGCAGGTATATCCAGCTGACGAGTCCCAGGTAGGACGAAACGCGCGTCCTGGATTCCACTGCTAGCCACTATCTATCTTTCCTTACGTAGAAAACTATTTGCGATAGATATTATTGATTTCCTACTTATGTTCCATCATCATGAGCATCTAATTATGAAACAATACAAAGACGCAAGGATTCAATGTTTAAAGGTGGTAACACACTCAAATTCCATCTCATTTACTTCAGTTGAATCAACTAGGCACATTGTAATCACATTTCTGATATCGAAAAATTTAGTTAAAAGTTTATCAAATGTATTATTATAATATTTACTTATAATATGGATTAAAGAAAGCAATATGTTTTTAGTCTTAATTTAAGGTTAAAATTAGTTTTGTAATAATAAGACGTTTATTAAATCTCAGAATATGTTAGACATGCATATTATCTCAATAATTGAGATCATGAGTCAATTAAAGCTAGACCTACATGAAAAACCTGGAAGTACTGGAATGGCCGTGTTTCGATTGCTCATGACTCATGATCTCAACTATTGAAATAACTATAATATCCACAAAAACCTCTTCTGATATATATTATCATTTATAATTATTTTCTTTCGTTTTTTTTTGTTTATTTCCTCATTTGCATCATTTCAAATCAAATAATTTAAAGACATTTGATATATTATCCAAATTTAAATTACCTACATTTATGCAACCAATTAATTGTTTATCAAAATCATGGCCACAACCAGCTGATTTAAATCAATCTCAGCATAGACGTACATGGATATCTGTAAATAGAAATCGTTTATTAGAAATTTCTCCATTTGAAAGTCAACGTCGATTAGATACAAAAGGTAGAAGTTGTCTATTAGTTTGCCCTGTACTATCAACTGATTCACAGATTACAACTGTTTCATCGGGTTTAGGTATTACACCCATTGTAAGTAAAACAATTTTATTTCTTTATATATATATATATATATATATATATATATATATATATATATATATATATATATATATATATATATATATATATATATATATATAATAGCATTAATATAATATTAAAATTGGATAACTGCTTTGAATAATTGTCTTTGATTTTATTTCTCTTACATTTTTTACACCAAAATGTTGAATATTCCATACTATGCTGTCTTATCAACCTCATTTTCCCCCAAAGCATGACATTATGTACAACATATTATCTTATTAAATATTGAAGTAACTGATATACGATCAACATACAAATTAGGTATCTAGGCAGATTATCTCCATATTCATCATTGAAAAGAACTGAACAATAAACGCTTATTTACTTAAGTAGTAATTTCAACATGCATGTGAGAAACCAATTAAAATAACTTCGTAAAGAAATAAATTCTGTTAAAGGCGTTTTATACCATGAAAGTAAAATTTAAATATATATTTATCATCCATCTCTTCATGTAATTTATAATTATATTGACCGCGGACATTTAACCTTGTAACTAAATATTATGAATGATGATTGGACGTTGATTTTATCCTCATCCAACATCGATAGACTATCTCAATCTTACTTCCTTAATAAATAAAATAACTTATCATTACTTATTTGATCATTTAAACATCAACAAAATGAGGTTGAACCATTTTTAAGGAAAAGATGACTGATAATTCTTTGCTCATTTCAACCAATTTAACTGAGTTTGAAATGTGAGACTAGACCTTACTAAGTAGCACTTATACTGAAATGTAATTAGTTGCAATTCTGATCATTTCACGACAATTTAAAGGAAAACTCTATTATTGAAATGAACTCAAAATTCATTTAGCGATTGTACATCTTAACTCGGTCAAAAAGACGTTTTGAACTGGTTCATTATATGTATCCACTCAAATTCTTATTGACCTTGAGTGTTCATCAAGTCAACTGATCAAATATATAGATTTTGTAGTGTTGTTAGTGTATAAAAACTCATAATTTTTGGAACAATTATCAACAGAGGTATGTTTATTGTTCATGCTGTCGAATAAAAAAAACAGATCAAAGACAAATGCATCCCTGAAGGAAATGAAATATCTAAACTAACTTTTTCCTCGCATACATAAATCTAGCATAACTGCATTTATGGTAACTTTTAACCACATGAGAAATTCAGTGATTAAAACAAAAGGCTAAAGCGTTTGTCTACAGTTTTTTCCGCTTTTATGCACACAAAATTTTGAAGGACAATGTTTTTCGGAGTCTTTACAAAAGATTCTAATTGTTTGTCAAAAACTACTGGCTTAATACGGTAGATAATCCCGATAATTTGGAGAAACGTGAAATTCCATGACATTATACTCAGTGACAGGCAACACTTCCTTGTAACGTTTGCTTCTTAAATGGAAGAGAAATTGCTTGTTAATAATCATTGCACACATTTATTCAGTGATCTCTATTGTATGGCAATAATAATAATTTACTCATCAAAAATCTAACCTTAATATCGTTGCCATACCACATGTGTGATTGATTTTTAATCCGCTTTTTTCCTGGAAAATCAGTTGATAGACGCGATAAATTTTAGTTATTATGATGAAATCCCATCGGTACATGGAATTCCATGTATGATTGTGAAAACTTCACCCAACAATGTCATGGTAGCTAATCATTTATTATCATAATTCAACGTTACTCAAATCAAGTAAACTAAAAGTAATAATCGATATGTTTAGAAACAGATATCCTCAATGACTTAATCACACCTTCATGTGCTAGTGAATACAAATCTAATTTATGTTATGTTAAGCTTTTGTTGAAAATAAGAGTAACTCAACTGGCGTTTCAATAACACTGCATATAGACCCCTATGATTGAAAAACTCACGTCCACTAATCACAAATATCAGTGTTATGTATAAGTTAACCATGTTCTAGAACGCTGACCATATTCTTTTATTTTCACTAACCAACGTTTATTCCCCTACATTTTAGTTAGTATACGTATTCCAAAACGTTTGAATAATTAATTTCCCCGATCATATCCTTGATTAAGAGATCCCATTGATTATATCACAGATAATGTTCGGGAGGGGTGACTGAAAACAAACGCATTTAATTCTAAAACATTATCTTCCAACACAAACAAATTGTACATTTTAAAATCAAGTGCTTATACTGAAAGATTTAATCAAATTAAATTATAAACTTCTAAATTTACGATTGCTACTTTTAGTGAAAATCACTATTACGATCCACTGTTATAACAACAATTGTATGACACATAGTTTAATGGTGTGATACATCTGACATTATTTGTTACTTTAGATTGCAACAGCGTTAGAAAATGGTGAAATTCATCTAACACATATCCCTGAATCTTGTTTTAGTTGTATGGTAAGTCTCAGTTATTTGAAAAAATGTATTGTTTTATGGTGATACTGTATACCTTTCCAGTTGTTTCATTCAAACATCATTGAGTACGCTGTTTTAGGATAGAATAAGTTTCAACCAAAGATCATCAGTTATGGATTGAACAGATAAAAAACTGCATGATATTTACAAGCTGAATAGGATTGATTCATATCGATCCACTTAAGCCTATAGAGTATGATTGTGACATGAAATGTAGATCCTGAATCCGTTTACTCCCCTCTTTTTCAGTCTATTCTAATGGTACAGTTACTTGAATAAATGTATATTGAACAGTTGTGGGTTACACAAAATCCTGATCTGTGTTAAAGATGCTACCAATTAATGTTGAAAAATATTTCATTTATAAAAGAACTAGTCTGCTGATCAGAGCAACAAATACGTTCAATACCTCCACAGTAAAGAAACGGAAATATTCTTTTATCTGTTTCTTGTCAGTAAACAATGTAGTTTATTCGTTGATGAAAAAATCGTAGCTTCGTTTAATAAATTTGTACACCGATTGGGCACAAGCCTCTGATTATGAATTTCTGCCAATTACTTAATTTTCTTTTACGATTGTTAATGATTTCCTAGTTGACATCATTTTGAATAAAGACTTGTTGTATAAGTCCCTTAAACTATTGCACAATATCTTTCAGTGAATCTAATCACAGCGTTAATATTGAAACTTATACCACGATATGCGTTAGTTAGTTTGTTCCTGCCAGTGTATCATAAGAAAGTAGAAGCTCTGGTGAGCTGCACACTCAAATCGATCATGATTTTCCACCACTCAAACAATATCACTTTTCTTAATTATTCTGCTAATAAAACCAACTATTTAATTTATGTACTTTTTAACTACTTATATCAATCAGTAGTATAATTCAAGATATACTTAAACACTTTTAGTCTCTGTAGGACCTTCCGCTTATATTATGGAAAAACAAGCCAATTTCAAAAACTAATTACCAAGTTATTCACAGAAATTCGGCGTAAAAATTGCAACAAAACGACAAGTAAAAATTATGCATTGTAGGATTTATCGAAGCGTTCTCCACATTCATGAGTGTGTGGCACAATTTGTCACATTTCAAAAAGAACGTGATATCTTTGTTTAGCATAAGCTGATTTTCTTTTATGTCAGTCCAATATTAAATTCACAATAAAATTAAAATTTATCGTAGCTGTAATGAAAATATGAAATTAGTTGAAAGTATTACTTTTCTTCATAGACCTACATCATATTACAAATATGATACATAGATCACAAATTTTTAATTCAAATTTTCTTATTCCATTAGGTTGAATTTTGTTCTCTTGGTTTTATCAATAAAAATGAATTAGTGAATCATGTTGTACAAGATCATTATTTAGGCGAATCAACCGATGAATTTCGATGTAATTGGGCTTCATGTGATCTATATCTTCCGTTGAATTGTTCACAATTTAATAAAGAGGTATGATTTTTTATGTATATTTAGAATAAACCAATAAGTTTTTTTAAATCTTAAAACAAATAGATAGATGTGTTAATTTTGAGAATTTAAGAACTTCTAAAGTGTAAATATTCATGTTATAGTTAGCTTTATATTATAGAAAAATATCAACATTTCAAGGTGATTTACATCACAACTCATTGTCAACCGATTAAATATTTACGAAGGCTGGTTGTGAGTACACCAGTTTAAGTGTGTAGTATTTACATTTCTTTACGAAATATAAAAATTATAGTTTCAGTAGTAAAATATCATCTTAGTTATCATTATGAATTATCTTGGAAACTGACATTTTTTTAAAGAAAAATAAGCCTATAATACTCAAATAAATGTAAACAACCATTCTCACTCATTTTTATTCTTCTCTTTAAATATTTTTGTTATTTTATTCAGAGAAAATAAGATAATCATAGTTAGAAAACAAATGACTTGCAATATTGTTTCTGTTCAATCTTATAATTGGTTTATATTACTTTTAATCAGAAAAGATGGTAGTTCGAGAAACTGACTAATTTATATTGAAAACTTTGTTATCATGTCATAGTTTTAAAAAAAAGTAGCTACATTTTTATAACTATTCAGATAGTGCATACAAAGATAGTTTTAATATCTACAAAATCTCATTGAAATCATAAACTGATCAATGTTAAACTTATTGAAACCTGAAAGCAGAAAACGGTGGTCTAACCTTGATCTGCTCATGATTTCAGTAAAACTCAACAATCGCCACAACCTTATACTAATAATATACAAAATCTCTAGATTAATAGTGAATAATCAATAAATCAAGGTGATCGCGTGTGCTGTTAGATGTATAAGATGGAGTTATAGCTATTTGATTGCACACACTGTAGAAAGATGCCTGCTCATGAAACTGGATTAGTAGTGGTCCTGACGATCTTAGCGCGTGATTTTAGGAAGAAAAGGATGACTTCTTGAGGTCAGTCACACATAGCATTTCAGTGATTAGTTTCATGCGTTTTAGCCCTGTACTTATCACTGGAGACAGAAATCCATAGGCAGAGTGAAGTGTTCTATTCTTAGAGCTGACCTTTCTAATTTTCAATCTGTTGTGAAAATATATCATCCTCTAAGAGCAACAGCTTACTGCCATCACAGTCCTATAAAATCAAGTAGAATCACTTTGTTCTCATACCTTAAGTTTCTGCTTGAGTTCTTATCGTTTTAAAACCAACGTGCTTTGTATGGCAAATCCTCAAGAACCAAGTTTTTCATCCAATATAGCTCGACTGAGCAATCGTGATAAATAAACCTGACCACCTTTGCAATAGAATAGCTGTTTTGAAGTTAATCAATACTGAACAATATCAGTAATTAGACTGATCAACATGACGTTTTCTTCATTATTATACAATCTTTAGTTGTTGTTGTGTTTTTTTTTTTTGAAATTTCACTCATCACCTAGTTACTAGGTAATTTTTTTTCCTTAATCCCATTTTATTGCTTTTTTCCTGTCATAAATTTAGATATTAGAAGATCATGCTCATCAACATGTATATTCATAAGAAAAATCTAATTTTTCTTTATTTAATTATCATTTTAGTAAAAATTTAATAAATGTATTATTTATTGTTTATTATTATTATTATTAATTTATTATTCACTTCCTGTTTGTTTATTTGTTTACAAAAATAATACATAACATTTAAACAAATCTCATTTAAAACTACCTAAGATTTCGTCCGCATTTTCATCATATATTTATGCATATATATATATATATACATTTGTTTGAATGAATTGAAAGCATTCTAAACAAATTTTTATTTGCTGAAAGATCAATATTCTATTGTTTATTGTTCTATGCTTCTCTTTTAACAGTAATTTGTTTTTCTTACAGTATCAACCAATTAACACATCATATTGTTTTAATATGGATAATAAGAAATTGTTACCTACATAGATATTAATCACTTGTTATAAATGTAATAAGGAATCAACTTCATAACTTTGTTTATTTTTTAAAGAACTTATTGTTGTTGTTGATAAATTCATGTTTATCAAAAAAAGGAGAATATTTGAGTGAACAATTGTTTTCAATAGCTTCATCATCAGGCTCTACTGTTATAAGTCCATAATTATAATATTTTATGAAGGCCAAAATAAGGCAATGCATTAATGAGTTTGATAATGTTATGTGTTAAAAATAGTGAATGTTTGCATCTGTTACGATTGTTTATTAGTTAACAATCCCAATATGAGTATTTAAATAAAAAGAAATTTATCACTAACTATTAAATTCTACGTTATTTCTACCCATTTACAAGGTGACATATTTTTATAATTACTAGAAGATATGTTGAATGTTTTAATGAAATCATTTTAATATGAATAATACTTGGTTTGTAAGCAGTCTACAAGGGTTCCTAAGTTTTCGTTTGTTTGTTTGTCTTATAATGTTGATCATTGGAATCGTAGATGAGCGTTAATAACTGATCAATTGAAATCATACAACCATTTTTTTTTACTAATATCTTCTCGAAAACTTGAACCCAGCACTGATTATTTCAAATGTTTTAATGTAGAAACACTCAATTACCAAAATCATGAAGGTTTTTTTTGTTTGTTTCATTTTGTAATTTCTCTATCACTAACGTAGCTGTGTTATTTGATCTCTTTTATCTTCAATAAACTTTATCTTTGCCGACTGCATTCATTGAAATACACAAGCCATGAAAAAAATTACACTTAAGATACGGCTTGAAAAGAATCACGATTAATTAATGCTTATTGCATATATGTATTATGGTTTATTTTTTTTATTTCTCCCCACCCCATAGTTCAAAGACGCCGCGACTTCAGAAGAAGCATCATTATTTAAGATATTATGGATATCTAATAATTAAGGCGTGTAATATCATTGCCACCCACAAATGTTTAGTTAATCATTAAGCCGACACTTTATTAAACAATAATGAGTAGATACGTTATGCCATCGAGTCAAGTAAAACGCTTCCTAAAAAACGTAGGTATTTTCTAATCGTGTCAGTTAAAAATGAGATGCTGGATAGGGAATTCACATATTGGGAAAAGAAAACAATAAATTTAGCACGAAATAACGTGAGGTACTGATTGATTAACTCCCATTAATATATGCACTAGTAATAAATCAAACGATGAATAAATGGATTTCATATTTTCAGTTTACCTACTAGAAGTTAATTTAATAAAAAAAGGAATAGAATTTCAATCTTGATCATATCCACTTTTGATCTAACAGTAGTATTACTCAGTATTTTGGAAATGTCTTAATTAGCTGGTTATAAAACAAGTTAATTCAAACGCTTTGACAGTATGTGATATGTCAGCTATTCTTCCAGGTCTTATATGCAAACAAGTTTGTTGTTATGTGGTTACTTCTCAAAAGTGTTAGTTAGCAGAGCTCATATTCATTGATTGAATAATTCTTATATCTAGAACTTGTTGTAGTTGGACTAGTCAGTATGGCATACTCAAATCTTTAGTGGAATATTGCTCCCCGTAGGATTCAAATCTGTATCACTCAGTTTTACCATAACCAAATTATTTTGACAGGAATAAACATTTTGTATCTTCACGTCCTAATATAAACACCAAGTTTAAGGCTTCCTCCTGATAACCTACAATAGCTAGACACAAACCACAGTGTACTGCAAAATCCAGTTACTTAAACTAAGGAATATATTGTAACTGAATCGATAGATTATAACTGAGAACACTGGTTACGACTCACTGAATAGTAAACGCAACAAAGCTTATGTTAAGCTAAAGTTTTAGGTATTGAAAAGAATAGTGAACAGCAGCAAATGCCAAATAATGGAGATATTCTGTCTGCACATTTATGTTACTTAAAATTAAATTACGATAAAGAAATATTTTTTCGAAATGGCTTAAGAAACACATTATCCATCCAGAACTATACTGAATGGCTGATTTAAAAAATGTCCTGTACTACTAACCTGTCAACACCATCTTTAAGAAGTATTAGAATACAAAGTTGGTTCTGTTAACTAATTCATTTCTACAACTTTTTGGACAAAATGTACACAATATTACATGCCTAATCTCTGCCACTGTACTTTCCTCCTAGTGTTATAAATTATTTTCAATTTTTTTTCAAATATTGCGTAATTAGAACAGCATACTGAATACTAATAAACAAGTGCTTTCTAACAGAATACTTTGAATAATAGTCTTCTTTTGCAATGTATTTATGTATGAAGCAATTTAACCAACTGTTTATGTTTATATTACATATAACGTGCAGTTTTCTATTCAGTGAATATTCTCTTGCGCAGGTTTATGCCCATCATATTTCAATTCATCTGGAAAATTTATATACAAGATAAAGTACAATTAGGTTCATAAGTGAAACAAATATTTAAATCAAACGTTTACAAGTTTAATTAAAAGCCTTGAATTATACAACAGTATGAGGATCAAGACCAGCATGAAAATACTAACTAGAAGATTGTTACTGTTCAATCTTACACACAGGAATAGTTTAACTTTGACCTAAACAAAACCAAACCGACAGGCTGTTTTGGGTAAAACCTCAGATTATATCGTAAATCCCTGCATATCCTATTTGATAATCTGCATGAATTAACACATTTTTGTGCATATTAGGTTTAGTAAACATTATTTATATGATATTCGCTCAGGACGTGAAAAACGACAGTCCTTTATTGATGAAGTGCCGTTCATTTATCATTATCCAATTATTATACAACTTTTACAAGCAAGTTAATAGATAGTGAAACGGTTCATAGAAGAATAAAATCATTAATGAACAAATATCAGAGGATTTTGTCCATTAGTTCTGAAAACAATCCGTTTTATTTAATATTAGGATGAAGAATGAAGTAGGTTAGCCGTGTAACCAATGCTTCATCATATGGAATGGGAACATTCAAGGTGATTAGACAATTATCGATATGTGGGAAACAATTCATCAGCCACATGAAAACCATACATTATCATAACAAATTCTGATGAAAGACGGAGAATAGCTTAGCTTGTCTTACAGCTATTTAGATTGTCACGTTTTTTAACAAGGTTCATAACCAACGAATTAACATACAACTTCAATTTGGATAGATTAACGGACGACGTAATGGTTCTGTAGGAAGGTTCTCTGAACCTATAAAATAAACGCTTGAATAAGGAATCGAAAAACCGATTTCTAAGTCTAACAACAAATACTTTAAACGTATCAGAATGTCACAGTAAAGGTTTATTTGGCTTTCAATGTGTTACTGTTATAACTACTTGTAAGTCGCTAACGTTTGTTAACTAATATAGTATCTAAAATACTAGCCTCGATAATTATCAGACGCTTAACTAAGACTCGTGAACTGCAAACACGAAAGAATCAATCTGGCTTCAGACCTGATCGTGGCTGCATCGACCACATATTCACCACTCGTCAGGTTCTAGAACGTAGACATACTTACCGGCGTCCGAAAATGTTGGTCTTTCTTGACTTAAAAGCAGCATTTGACTCGGTAGACCGCGAGATTCTGTGGCAGTGTCTGTCATTGAAAGGTGTACCTCAGAAGGCTCTTTACTCGAACACTACCAATCTAGTCAGAGCTTATGGCGAACTGTCATCCGCTTTTGCAACCTCAAGTGGTGTCCGTCAAGGCTGTCCACTTTCTCCATTTTTGTTTAACTTCATCATAGACCTACTGATGGAAATAACATTCTCGTCTACTGAATTCTCGGGCATTGATCTCCTTCCAGGAGGTCCACTTATCGACTTAGAATACGCAGATGACATAGTCCTGTTTGGTGAAGACGCTGACAAAATGCAGAGTCTTCTGGTAGCACTGAGCAACAATGCCATAATGTTTGGAATGCGCTTCTCTCCCTCTAAATGCAAGTTGTTGCTTCAGGACTGGTCTGCGTTAACACCTGAACTAAGGATAGGGAGTGAAGTAGTCGAACGTGTTGACAACTTCACTTATCTTGGAAGTCTGATCAGCCCTAATGGGTTGGTGTCTGACGAAATCTCAGCACGAATTCGAAAAGCTCGCTTGGCTTTTGCCAACATACGTCACCTAAGGCTAAGGTGAGATATCCGTCTATCAATTAAAGGACGAGTATACTGCGCAGCAGTCCGTTCTGTTTTACTTTACGATTGCGAATCGCAGTCACTGAGAGTATAAAATATTCGTAAGCTACTAGTATTTGATCACAGATGCCTCAGAAATAATGCTCGCATCTACTGTGACCACCGGGTAAGTAATAGTGATGTTAGACGCAGGGTATTAGGGAAGGATGGTAAATCAGTTGATGAGGTTGTGAATCTTCACCGACTGAGATGGTTGGGCCACGTGTTGCGTATGCCTGAACACCGATCACCACGACGCGAAATGCTGACTAATGTTGGGGATGGTTAGAAGAGTCAGGGGCGGCCAAACCAAAACGTTTCATCAGTGCTTGAAGTCACTAACTTCTAGTCTGGGCCATGTTGGTAGATGCGGACTAATGAATGAGATCCGTATGGCTGTTGCAACCAATCATTGGAGACTCTGTGTGATATGGCTCAGAATCAATCACAATGGCTTAGATGTATAAACTCTTTGTATTCCCTTAAACCGTGGGATTACAATTACTTTATACTTTTCTTGCTACGGACTAATTCTTTCTCCCTGTATTACATCCTTTTACACAATCTTTCTTTTATATATCACTACCGTTAACTTAACTACTCCTATGAATCTAGTGATCATCTCGTTGTGCTAATGAGGTGTGGCAACTTGGATGAATAAATGTGTCTGGTCTTTTGTTGTAGCTGACTGACTGACTGAATTGTCATGTTAGCTCCGTACTTGTTGAGACTTTGCTGAAGGATACGGATAACCTTGTGGTACGCATTTTTAGGATGGACCTTTTATAACCACGCACGCCCACTCTGTGAGAAGGCAGTATCGCCGTTATGCTGGTTGTCTGATGGGAAAAACCTTATTGCAGTCACAATTCAGTACAGTCAGCAGTACGACTCCGCTCTCAGACCTTGCGTTTGATGCTTTTAGTCTTACTGCTCTTCAAGTGACCGGTCTGGCATGGTAGGACCTTGAGGAATAATTGTTTCAGCCAGTAAAACACGATCAGGTCATCACTATAGGCAAGCCCGACCACCATGTCAAGGTAGCAGCATCGGTCAGGTTTACCGGTGATTCATTTATAATGTCAGTGATTAAGGTGTATAATTCATCTGATTAGTAAGTTCAATACTTTATCAACTGTTCCAAAAGCAAATTCTACATTCTCAGTGGGAGATGCCAAAACGTTCTTTATATATATATATATATATATATATATATATATATATATATATATATATATATATATATATATATATATATATATATATATATATATATATATATATATATATTCAAAACGATCATCTTCTGTTCACGATAATGAGTGCATCACATTTGTAATGAGTGTCTGGATCTAGATGGTCACAATATGTTACTAAAGTTTTGGTAAGGTGATTCACAAGTAAGCACTCGTGAGTATATATTTATTATGAACGTGAAACTTTATAATTATTGTTCAACTTGAAATTCATCTTTATATTCTCCTGGAGTCTAATGATTACCTAACTTGAATTACTACATGATATAGGCTATCTCTAAGTTGAAATGTCTTCACAACTCTCTATACTAATAAAAACCTCTTTGCATAAAGCACCGTCTGCGACTTAACAAGCTTCAATAAATTAGTCGCATGAAACATAGCTAACTATAATTAATAAGATACATGTGGACATTAACACAAATAATTTACCTAAATACAATCCAGGATCATGGGAAACATTTGTTCGTATATTTTCATTGTCGTCACTTTCTTCCAAGGTTAAACGACGTAACTGCATCTGTTAATAACCATAGTTGCGATATAATTTCAAGCATCTTTAATTCATTTTACCTGAAGGTGTAATTTGCTTGTGAATAGAAGCTTTTTCCATCCGAATAGTTTTGCTAACTCTTCAACAGGTCTACTTGGCTGACTTAATGTTGTGTTAACATAGATCTCACGCCATAATGAATCGCTATTACAAATCTTTGAAAAAACAATAACTTAAACGGTAAAGATAAAACCATTACCTCATTAAAGTGTCTTGATGTCGTCCCTAAATTAATCACATCCTCCAGATTTAGATAAAAAATTATCTTCACTAGAATTTTGTTTGGTATTCTGACTAAATAATCCATCTTCCCAGCACATATGTTCAGACAGTAGTCTAGTGTTTTATGGCCCATAACCCTGAGTATTTCATCTAGGAAAAATCAAAAAATTAGCGGTAGATATAGACATAGTTTTTACAATTAGTTCTTTAATTAGTTTCGGTTTTAATCAAAGAATTTCATCATTTCATTTCTTATTTTCAAGTCACCCTAAATAGTGCTATCCTAAGAAACAAATTAGTTTAACTTGGTGAACTTTAGTATATCTTTCTATACCTCCCTGATTTATTAACATAAAATCTAGTATAACATTAACCAACGTTTAACATTAAGTAGAATGGCCACTAAAGTCATTCAAATCATAATTTCCGTTCTTTAAACTAACAAACTAACTTACTATGCATCCGATCGTCTTGTTCGAATTCCTCATAAGTTGCCACACTTTCACCTGGATGAAACTTTGCCCCATCATTTCTTGATGTAATCTTCCACCATCTCAATTTGAACTTGAAAAAAAGAACACTTATAATTTTGTTAGAGAATGTTTTAACTTCATTCACATATTACGTGATAAGTGACTTCATTGCCACACTTAAAACAGATAAGTAAAACTAAAATTGACTGATCTAGGAAACTTGTAAATATCTACTTTTTATTCATGATTCTGTCGAAAACTTTTCTTGTTGTCAGTTTCCACTCAAGTATAGTTATTTTAGTTTTCAACAACAAGTTTATGTTAATTTGTTTTAAACCCAGAATGCTACTCAATTTTTACATAAGTACGAAGAATTTATACTTGAGATAATTGTGATACTAAAGGACGCTTGTGATATACTATTTAATATTCGAATGCTATAAAGGATAGGGCAGAGACGCTATACTTTGAAACGCATGACATAAACGTCATACTATTGCATTATACTATATTCATACTATTCTGCATCAATGTTTGTCCTTGCTGTATTTAAATTCATAATGGGAACCAATTGTATGATATTGCATTATATAAAGGTGACGATAGTAAGAGCTTGAGACTAAATGACCGAGGATAAGATAGGGGCAGAAACAAAGGATAATAGTACCTTCATTGTGATAATGAGTAAATAAATGAGATTACTTGTGGCTTTTGTAGCCTGGCGTTTTTAAATACGTTGTCTTATACTCTTTGTAAATTCTAGCTATAATATATACAATTGGATTCGCAGCTAAAAACAACAGGCGATTGATATAAGGCATGAGTCTTTAGAATTTAAAGCACGATTTAGTACACTAGTAAACAAACCAATACTTAATTTGCATTGTACGAAGTACAGTACACCTTTAGTTTCGGTTGCTGTATCAAGCTCACACAGCTTATTCTAGCTTCTGGACAGGCCAATTTATCTATTCTTCTCGAGTCACGTTTCGACCTTGTTATCTATTCGTTTATCAGCCTTGACTGTTCTTATGTAAGCGTATGTGTGTTTACTCCTTATCTTACTCATCATATATCTGTAAGTTATTTTGGTCTCACTATGAATATCGGTTCACGCCTGGTTAAATCGAGTTGGCTCAGAAGCCTTCTCCTATTCGCTTCCTTTGCTGCGTTTCTCTGATTTTCTGCGTCGATCAACGATTGCGCAAAATGTTCGTATTCAAAAATCTATTCTCGTATTTGATTTATTTAAGTCCGTTATCTACCAACGCGATTTAGGTCAATGATTATATATGAGAATTGGCGACATGTATATTTCGATAACAAGCAGAAAACGATCTACGTAAAGTCAGATTTTGTGTCACTAAACACAAGTCGAATTCATGTCAAAACGTATACAATCTTTCAAAATATAAAAACACTTAAAACATTGTTTGAATCTGTCTCTCAGTCTACTAATGGATAATTCAGTGTACTCTCCTTTAGTCTGAGTTATAAAAATATGAGAATACAAGTTAAGACAGGATTCTATGTGAAAGCTTACTCATTTGATATTTTATTTATTTTAACAACCTAAAAATTGAGAACTGACAAGCAGGAGACAATTGAATGAAAAATTAACAATTGTTTATAAAGCGAACAAATAAAAAGATAATATAACTAAAGCTAGCAAAACAATAGACGATTAGTGTACTCGCCGTAGTTTCAGTGCTAGGATGTACAATAAACTTTAGACGTAGACAATCATCTGATGAAATTCAGTGGTTGAGCAACAATGTATCACTTCATAGTTTTTACACGATCAAAATTTGAACCTACTCAATGTCATAAACTTTTATGCCAGCATACTAAACTCTCATAAATTTACAGTTAATAGTTTCATCCGTTATTACTTTAATTTGCTACTTTGGTTTTCTGATACAAGTTAAAATAGAAACAATATAAAGTTTATAATATGAATTTTTAATAAAGTAAAACGATGAAAATGTTTTACAATTTTTTGTGAGAACGAAGCTGATAAATTTCGGCGGCAAATGTGCATGTATGCGAAGTTTCAATCTCTCTAGATATGCAAATATGAAATGATATTAACTTGCAATTGTGAATTAGCAAGTGTACGTATTAGCACAACATTATTACAACAGTTTGTCAAGGTATATTGCGTTTGGGCAAGCCGCTTTCTTTTTCAAATAATTGAATAAAGTTCTGTCATCTAAAGAGATGAAGTTTCGAAACTCGCTGTATATGTTTTGATGCGTCACATCAGTAATGAACTTTATAAAAACCAACTGTAATTATACTACAAATACAACTATTTCTTTAAATCCTCAAGAATGTCTGGGTTACTATCTCTGCCTTTTGAGACACAAGAATCTTTAAAAAAGCGAGTTTTTTCAACTTTTCAGTAAGAACAAAGAAATATTTGTCGAAAACCGTACAAGAACAATAGCTAGTTTTAGCTTACATATGACCATTCAAATATAACTCGATGAAATTTCAGAGAAAGAATTTTCTTTGTAACAAATCAAGCAGTATATATAGTGGTTCGAAAAACCGAATTTAAATCAAGTGCAAATTTCTAACTCAGAACTAATTAGGTTTTCTGGGTATTCATCCACTAAATACACAATTGCGTATTGTCAATTTAAAACAACTGCGTTTATTCTACCATGATCTGTAATATGTTTTCAAGACCGCATCAAAGTTGACCGATAACATTTTTATGACGATAATTGATAAAAAAGCAAGTTTTATGATGCTGAGATCTTGGGGTTAAATAATACACTCCTGACATCTCATATAACGTTATATGGGCAACTCACTAAAATTTTGGAAACTGAAACATCGAAGTAAAACACATACGCAACAGCCGATATCGGAATCATGTAATGCAATGTCGATATTTAACGGTAAGTTCACCAAATATAAATAAAACCTGTTTGTCACTACTAACTTTAGTTGGTGTTATTAATAGATGGTAAAAATCTTTAGATGGGGCTGGGGCAATAGCCGCAAACTCTGCTATCTTTTCAGAGTCAAATATATTATAATACGCAATCAATGGATTTTTCAACACACTAGTAATATCATGTCTCATTTTAAAAGCGTTTTATTATACAGTATATGACGACGCAGAATTTCGGTTCATTTTAACTAGTTTTGTGCCTCAATGTTTCAATACACCAATGTTCAGCCAGAGCTTTGTTCCATACCTTTTGGATTAAATACTTTGATGAAAATTAGGTTTCTAAAGTAGGAGAATCTTAAAATGATGTTGTTTGACCATGGTTTTTGGATGTTTTCTGTTGATATTATAGATAATTGGTCATGGATAGGCATAAATTTAAGACCAGTTGACCGTCAATGCATTAAAAGTCTTTACATAACCCAGAAGTGTAAAAATAACGAGATGCCAGCTATTCTACTGCTTCTGAAGGTGGAAGTTGAAGGTACTGTTACTAACTCCCTTCAAGCTGTACAGTATTATACCTTAAATGTAAATGTAACGGAAAGAGAACGATGAAAATCCCTCCGCAGCCTTTTTGGTGGACATTACTGTCATGTATTTGTTTCTTCTCCTTGTCGTGTATTTTAACCTTCTTTCAGATCTCGTTTAACCAAACCTTTTGTTCTTTAGTCTTCCTCGTTTGAGCATTTATTAAGTGATTTTGATTAAAGACTTATCTTTTGTAATCTAATTTTCTATTGCATGTTGCCCGACTGTTGACAGTAAGGTCATGTTTGACTAGGCTCAAGGTCACGGCGTGGTCTAGTGTGTGGCTGCTAACCTTTTGACTATCTGCTTGGGAGGATTGCTGGAATCCCTGAAGATAGATATTTGATCCCATTTTGTTGGGTCTATTCTTAATTATTCGAACCCTTTTGTATTAACTGTTTATTTTACTGTTTGGCGCGCTACTTTGCGTTAGATAAACTTCTGACTGTTTGAAGTATTTTGTATGTTTGATATAATTTGTCCTGTTTCCTAATTTAGAACCGTTTAAATTGAGCACAGAGTTTCTGTTTCGATATAGTTTAATACGAGTATTTCAAAAACGCTTGGTACGCTATACAGAAGAACGTAGTCTGGCCTATTCGAATACATTTTGGTTCGTCAGTCCTGTGCTCAGACCGAATACTGGTGGTCCGCTCGTTACAGTAAAGATGCGTGGTTGTTGTTGATACATCTGCGACCTTGAGAAATTCGTCTAAAGAATTGCCTTCACCTTCAACAACCAGCTTTTCAGCTTATAAATAAGTCTGATTGAATCTCTCTGACAAAGAAATAGAACTTCTGTCCAGCTAGGGTGTGTCCAGTAAAATTGATGAGGACAGTAGCATTGTCGAAGATATTTAAAGACTACTTATTTTGGGGACTTACTCACCACTGAAACTCGCCTTCTCAATAATGAGGGAGTTACGACCTTAAAACGAAACCAGTCAGAAGATTAATAACAACGAGCCTACTGATGGTAAACACACTGATATTTTGCTATGTTCGGCAGCGTTGGAGCCATGAAATACACGGTTAAAAAATAAATTAACGGAAAAAGGGTTGGCTCACCAAGTCCGTTTTCCGCGTCTCGTCTGTTCTTGTCGTCCTAGAAAACAAAGAAATCAAAATGCAGGTATGTATTAAAACACTCTCGTATCTGCGTAACCCGGCTAAACATGAAGGAAAGTCAGGTATATTTGGGTACATATATACCACGTGACAGTGAAAAAAACCTGGAAAGTTATATTTAGTTTTTCCCAAAGAATATGCACATACATATGATTTTGAGATGCACGTACATAAACGCACTGTAAAATGCATATTTGCGTTAATTAGTTTTCATACAATCAAGTGGCTGTAGGACACGAAATGAGAGTTAAGACAATGATTTATAACATAAACTACATGCGGTAGTCGTTCAAGTGTTCTTGAAATCTTACAGCTCTTCCAAATCGCGACATCTCGAACCTTCAGTCGGACATCAGAGGAACTTTATTGACGTTGTTAACTATCATGGATCGTATCTTAGTCGTGAGAATTATGTCGTACGATCGTTTGATATGAAAGTCAACATAGATGATGTTTCATTCTAAACAAGCGGATTTTAGCCAATCAACTCTTATTTCATCTTTACCATCGTTCTTATTATTGATGTAGCACTCAGGTTCATATTAATGAACTTGAATCCTCAAATAAATCCTCAAAATAAATAGTCCTACAAGTCTTCTATATTTGATTCAGACCTCACTACTTTTAATGGATACATTTAGCTGAAAGTGCTCGGTTGCGCATCCACACCAGATGTCGAGGGGGTACACCATGTCAACCATCTCTTACAAGCGTTAGCCAGCTTAGAATAGATGCATCCCGATATATTGATAACCTATCAAAGATATCTTGGAACCTCTTCATTTTTTACTTTATTTGACTGAGTTGGTACATTTCAACTATGAAAATCTTACTTGTCAAGGTGTTGTTAAGCTCGAAATACATAAGCCATCATAAACTATAGCACTGTCAGTTATAAAACTCTCTTGCCGAAATCAACGCCCCTAGCGCATATATGGGTTCTTAATAATGAAAAAACCTAGAAAAACTCGTTAAAGCTAAATGTATCCTGAATTTTGTAGCTGAGGAAGTTGTACGACTGTGGTCTACTTCGTTATTAGTACCGCTTCATGAATAGACTTAATCCCAAAATTGTAGATTTGTCATGATGTAACTGCCCTAATATGTAAGATCTTACGCGGAAGTCACATTAATATCTACACCAACTCATCGCATCGTTACAATCATCAGAATATGTGTTGAAAATAATAATAGTGGTTGAAAATAATAGTCGGTTGCCACACGTCCAGGCTGTAAGCAGAAAGAAAGATTCCTGCTCAAGAAAATCATCGCACACAATCAGCTCTCACCTCCATACTGGTCATGTGGTGGTTGGCACAATAAGAGGCTCTGCCCGTAAAAAGAACAGTGTTGCAGTAAATGTCATCGGTAGGACCATAAAGAAATCAGCTGCAGAAAAAAGAACCATAAGCGATATTCTGCAAAACCCTACTTCAAGAAATACAGGTGTAGTGGATTAACAAAAAAATACTGGTATCACATAATCGGGCGCGAAATTACCTCCAACGAAAGTATGTAAACTTATATATTAATAAACACCGTACTCGCCTTCAGCTTGATACAGCTTCTGATATTACCCTAATCAGCCCAGAAACGTGTAGGAATATTTGAAGACCCACAGTTCTTCCGACAACACAACTGGCATACAGTGCATCTGGGGGAAGTTAAATATTGTTGGGAAAGTACTCTGCACTGTATCTAAAAGTACTGTAACAACAAATGAAACAGTATACCTTACAAAGAAGCCAGCACTCGACTTAATGGGGTTAGATCTTATAGAGAGACTAAAACTAGCACACCATTCTATTAACAGCATCTGCAGATGAATCAGAGCTGACAACCCCTTAGAGTGGAACCAGAAAAATGCTGTGCTACAAAGACACCACAATGTGTTTAAAGAAGAATTAGGAGAAAGTACGAAGGCCAAAGCATTGTTAGCCCTAAAACCTTCAGCTACCCCGGCTTGCGGCCTAAAAGACCTGTACGTTATGGCGTTCTTCCAATAGTTGAATAAAAATTACGACTTCAAAACATGAATGTTATATAACCTGTAAACTTCTCGAACTGGGTTGCACCAATAATGGTGGTCAAGATGTCAAATGGAAGCGTCCGTCTATGTGCAGACTAATCTACCGGATTATATGAGTCTCTTCAGTATCCGTTACCCCTACCTGAAGATCTCATCGCTAAGCTGAATGGTGGCAGATATTTTGCGAAATTGGACTTATCAGACGCGTATCTACAAATCCCGGTATCTGATGAAAGTAAAGATCTCCTGACGATTAACACACACAAAAGTCTGTCCCGGTATAACCGACTACCTTTCGGGGTAAATACAGCGCCCTCTATTTTCCAGCAAATTATGGATACCATGTTACAAAGTATTCCAGGGGCAGCAGCTTATTTAGACGACACCATAATTATGGCAGCAGACAAAATGGACCCGCAGAAAGTGGACCAGGTACTAGAACGCATAGCCGATTATGATTTTCGCCTTCGAGCGGAAAAGTGTGACTTTTATATGCAGCAAGTACGGTATCTTAGGTTCATAAAAGATAAATACGGAAGACGACCAGATTCGGAGAACATTGGGGCTGTGAGAACAATGCCTAGACCCAGGGACATTACTACCCTACGATCGTTCTTGGAATTTGTCAGCCATTATGGTACCTTCCTTCCCGATCTCCATCGTCTACGTGCTCCACTAAACCACCTACTAGAAAAGGACACGATACGGGATTGTTTTGTGAACTGCCAAGCGTCTTTCGAGAAAATCAAGCAACTCCCAACTTTCAATCTCTTATTGACACATTATGGTCCTTCGCTACCAATAGTTTTTGCTTCAGATGCCCCTAACAATGGTTTGGGTGCAGTCATCTCTTACATTTTTCCTAATGGGTCTGAAAAAGCTATCTCCCATGCTGCCAGATCTTTGAGAACGACCGAACGGAACTACAGTTAGATTGGGAAAGAGGCACCATCAATTATCTTTGCAGTGAAAAAGATCAACAAGATGATATACTGCCGACATTTTACTAATAAGAGACCATAAGCCACTAATCGCCGTTTTTGGGTTAAAGAAGGGAATTCCTGTTCGTGCAGCTAACGGGCTACAACGATGGGCAACCACACTTCTGGGTTACGATTTCAAGATCAAATATCAGTCTACTACCGCTTTCGGGCAAGCTGATGCATTATCAAGATCAATAGGTTCCCAATCTAAAACCTCACAGGAGTCTCTTGTAGCAAATATAAAAGCTGAGAAAGTTCGTCGCGTATTGGACGACGCAATCGATGGACTCCCAGTAACCTTTGAAGAAGATCACTGAAATTGATGAGACATTGAGCACAGTTAAATGGTATCTCTCAACCAAAAGGCCAAACAATCGTCTTGACGGAGAACTTTTGCAATGCTTTCGTTGACGTGACTCACTAATGGTTGTCAACTGGTGTATTATGTTCGATGATCGAATTGTTATTCGAAGGTATTACGTATCCTAGCACGCATTCCCTTGTAATGGTGTTCATAGTCTACCGC